TTAAAACCCCCCCCTTGAAAAAATCCTGCGTACGCGCCTGACACAACATAACACAACAAAACACAACACACACACAAAACACTTAAACCTCAGTGAGAACAGAAAATAACATTTTCTAATAAAGTTTCATCATAAAAGTAATATACTGTGACCCCGTGACACCCAGACTGACAAAATCCAGATTAAGTTGTTGCGATGTTAACAAGAATAGAGTGCAGGAAAGAAGTAGTTAGGAGTGATGGAACGTACCTTGCAAGAGGTATCCCTGATTCTTTCTGTAAGAGCTGAATCAGAGCCGTTGTGTCCTCTCTATTTTTCTCTGCATCGTCGAAGATAGCATCACAACCAAACAGTTCGATATAGCCACAAGCATCCTTGGTCCCTGCTCGCATGAGGCGAAGGCCTTCTCGAATTAAAACAATGATGTTCTGCAAAGATCAACGCAAATAAAACACATCAAGGGGGTGTTTCACAAAGCCTAAGATCGACTTTAAGTTAGAATTAACTATGGCAGGCCGTTCATGCCACTGTTTGCTCTCATTATTTACTGGTATTAGTCTTTCAAAAAAAAAAGGAAAAATATTATATAAAGATCATAATGGTGTGAGAGCAAACAGTGGCATGAGTGGCCTGCCATAGTTAAGTCCAACTAAAAGTCGATCTTAGTCTTTGTGAAAACCCCTTTAATAATTCATTAACTGTTTGATTTATTATCAATCGGTTGTTGATGCCAGGAAAGCAGGTTGTAATGAATATCTAGCCAGCATCCCGCCGAGCGGGGGGAGGGGGGGAGGGGGGGGGGTGTACTCGTTTCTCACAATATTCCAGGGTCCCCTGATTTCCTCCTGAAAGAGTGCAATCATACTGTAAACGGATTAAATAATTGGAAGAAAAGCAACGAATACACACTTTCTAATGTTTTTCCGGCAGCTAATCACAGCGCGTTGTTTTCTAGCGTGCCTTTTCCCCTCTATCTTTCGTTTTAATGTCCGATTTTGGCTTGCGATTCTTGCTATTTTCTCTGAAGAGCAGGGCCGTGGCCAGAGTTTGATGTTTGGGGGGGGGGGGGCACATATAATTGATCGACGTCCTGGGGAGGGGTCTAAAAATTCAATCGATCTCGGAATTTTTTATTTTTTTTTGGGGGGGGGGGGGCACATGCCCCCCGTGCCCCCCCCTCCCGTGGCTACGTGCCTGCTGAAGAGGGCAAGACATGATGCTTTAGTTTGTCTGTTCGTTGTTATTTTTCGATTTTGTAGTACCAAACATCTCTTTGACTAACCAATAAGTGCACCTGGGTGTAGAATCACATAATGTCATGCTTCAGTAATCAGTAATGCAATTGAACTTGTACTGTCCTCATCTCATACAGTGAAATGAGGAAAAAGAAATGAAAAGGACGGAAAGAAAGAAAGAAAGAAAGCTAGAAATCAAGGAAAGCGAATGAACAGGAGCTAGGGGGACCCGGGCCTCACACACCTTTTCTTATTGGTGGCAGAGGCGCGCGCTTCTGAGGGGGAGGGGGGGGGGGTAGGGGGTACAGTGCCTTCACTTTTTCAAGTAACCGACACAGTGCCCTTTTTTACATAGAAAAAGAGCCCCATTTTACTTCAGATAAGTGCCCCTTTTTCTTTTCTAATAGGTGCCTGTTCCATATTCTTTTATAGGTACGTACCCCTTACCACCTCTGATTTTTCTCTGATAGTTGATGATCTGATCCAACGAACCCATAATACGCACAACATCTCCCCCCCCCCCCCCCCCCCATTTTTTCCCCATTCATTTGCCCTCTCTCCGAGGTAGAAAGAAAAGGAGAGAAAGAGAAAGAGAGAGAGAGGGGGGAGGGAGAGATAGATAGAGAGAGAGAGGGGGGGAGGGAGAGATAGATAGAGAGAGAGAGAGGGGAGGGAGAGATAGATAGAGAGAGAGAGAGAGAGAGAGAGATGTACTAACATGTCAAAGCGAACGTTTTCATAGGCCTAAAAGTAATGTCGACCTTATTATCGATTAAATATCTTTACTCAAGGCAGGAATATGTAGTAGTCTATTATTTTGGGCGAAATGATACAAAATAATGACAAATCACATCATAATATGTTAAAAAGGGGAACGTAGTAAAAACGTTTTTGGAAATTATTGAAGCTCACCTCTGTTTGAAGATCATATCGTTTCGCAACCATTGTCGCCAGTTGAGTTCTGAATGAGTCAGATAGCTTGCAGGCTGGTGTGTTTACATGTACCACACATCGTAGCATCATGATGAAGAAGATGATGACCCGGGCCGCTCGGAAAAAACACCTAAAAATGGAGGCGAAATAGCAAAAATACCCTCACTGAAGACTAGATGAAAATCGACGATATGACAAATTGGTCTTCTTCTGAAGGTTTAGCCTTCCTGTCCTCACTTTTGGAGGAATAACTTTACAGGAATGTGACTGGAAGGATTGATTTTTTAAATGAAGACCGAGGACACTCTAGATTAATGTAATATCAGCCCGCGCCAAGGTAGAAGATTAACGCGGGTACCGTCAAAAGTATGTCTATAATGATCTATCAATCAGCTTCTTTCTCTCTGTATTAAAATGCAAACATGGCATTTCAACTCATTTTTTGCGCAAGCCATCTCGTACGTGCGACGAAAATCAAGAATGGAAAACATGACAAAACTTAAAAGTTATCATGGAAACGGGTACCGTCAAAAGTAAAAAGCCTACATCTAAAAGGGACAGGGTTCCAGGATGTTGCAAAACAGAGGGCACAATATGAATATATTATTTCACTTTATGTACTAAAGGGCGTATGCCATTTCGGGTTCAATTAGGGGGTGGGCATTGGCAGGTTTTGCCCCCACTAAATTCGTCAGTGCCTAAAGAGAGAGAGAGAGAGGAGAGAGAGAGAGAGAGAGAGAGAGAGAGAGAGAGAAAGAAGAGAGAGAGAGGAGAGAGAGGGGAGAAGAAGAGGAGAGAGAGAGAGAGAGAGAGAGAGAGAGAGGGTGGGAGGGAGGGGGAGGGGAGGGGATTCAGTTATTTCTGCAATATCTTGCTGGTGAATATAAGAATATATATAACTCTTAAAATATGTTTGCTTGGCGCTACCTGACATTTATCGATTTTCATCAAACTTGCGAAAGGAAATTTATTGCTCATGCAATACAGAATTCTGTGTGACAACATCTTGTAGGTCTCCGTTTTGCAGATGGCATTGTTGTTTTACTTGCATTTAAAAAAATGATAGCTTTTTAAAGTTTATGCTTTTATAACAAAATGTATATAATTATCGTGAAATCTAAAATGCACGGTTCCTTATAAATTCAAAAACTTTGCGAAACACACAACATGGAAAGAGAACAAAAATGAATGACTGTACAGTGATAAATATCCTATATTGAATAAAATGAAATGGTAATTAAAATTCTTAAATTTTGAATGGCGCGTGTTACTGAACTTGAAATTTTCGCAGCTAGCTAACCGTAGCGTATTATCGAGTGAAATGTATTTCTTTTTATATCAACTGCAGCGAAATGTGAAAGTATTATATAGATATACTAAGCTCGTATAGAGAAAAAAAAGTAATTCAAAATATGTTTAATAAGGTCTCATTGAAATACGTTACATCAGCTTCCAAACTGTGCAAACCAAGAGTAAGCAAGCAATAAGAAGAAGAAGAAGAAAACGGAAGAAGTGAAGATGGTAATAATTTTGTTAAAAAACCTTGTGAAATAATTATGCAGGTATAAGTTCTGGGGAAAAAATCATTCTAACACTCTATAAAGTAAAGTAATAAGAAATAATGACTTAATTGTACTGGTATCATTCTACGCTCTATAAAGTAGTAAAGACAAAAATAAGAAACAATGACTTAATTGTACTGGTATCATTCCTATGCATCGAGGTCATCTTGCTGGCTCTGATCACGGACTTAGTCCTAGTTATGACGTTGCTTCCATTTTGCTTTCGTCACGTCACGTGCAAGAGACCACTTTACTACGCTGTTAGGTTTTTCGTTTTCTTGGCCTGGTATTCTCTTTCAGTTTTTTCTCATCAGCTTTAGTGTGTCGCATAATATTTGAACTTTACTACTTTCCATGGTTTCTAGACACGGTCTTTCCTTCGGTTTTTTGCGGTCATTTGTTTCAGTCTCTTTTGTGCTTTAGAGTAAAAATTGACTCTAGAAATCTAAAATTTATAGCTTATTTGCATTTAGGACCTGATTTTCTTACGTTTCATGATCTGGAACACTCTTGATTCAGCTTTTTTGTTGCTAATTCACAAGAATTGATCAAGATGCCTCTGTGTATCTTTCACACCAATATGTCTGCAGATCGAGTCAGCGATGAAGTCCATTCGAAGCTTTCAAAGATCATCTCCGAGATGACAGGATCCAACGAAACGGTAAGTGAAAAGGCATTAATTCTCATATCAAGTCCGTCGGAAAGGACTTGAAACTGTCGGTCCCCTGGTTGCTTACTTACAAGCATATTATACACAGGCCTGATTATACACATGCTTTCTTATAGCAGTCAGGTAAAATAACCAACCAACCAGGGACTTGGGATCCAATTAATAATTGTGCACATACGCCTGTACAACGGTAGCAAGGATACGTGGGGCCGCCCCTCTCCCATCAATGATATCATCAATGGGTGTACTATACACGGGAGGGGGGGGGGGGGGGGTATGTCTGGACACGCTGTCATTTTTTAAGACCAATTGGTAAAATATCATTGGTAAGTCTGTCAGACAATCCGCAATGCCAGTGGCGTAGACAGGTTCGTACACCTGGGGGGGATGACTCAGGAGCGGATCTAGGTTTTTGCTAAGGGGGGTTGACCAATAATGACGATGCGGAGCATCGTCCACGAGCCGCGAAGCGGCGAGCCGATTTTTTGGGGGGTGTTCATTTGAACCCCGTAAGTGATGTTTTCCTGGCATCTATTAACACAATGGAGACCATAAAAAGCAGTGCATGATAACGTCTTTTTAAATCAAGTAACAGTTAAATACACAGTTATATCCAGAGTTATCATGTGTTTGGTAAGTTACCAGATGAGTTGAATATCTTCTCACAATATTTGCACTTGCAAGGGTTTCTCTCCATGCAGCGTGCGTTCTTTTTTTTTTTTTTTTTTTTTTTTTTCTTCTTTTTTTTTTCTTCTTTTTTTTTTTTTTTTTTTTGGGCCGCCCAAGGGGGGGGGGGTTTAAACCCCCTAACCCCCCCCCGTAGATCCGCGCCTGTTTTATCTTGTGGTTATCTTGTGGTTTCCAAACCACAAGATAACCACAAAATACTTGTAAGATTTTCTTTTTTTACCGTCTGAATTGGCTTTCACCATGTGAATGCGGCTAATAACAATAAACACAATTACAATAATGATGAGGATTATTATTATCATCATCATAATTATTATTATTATTAATATTATAATTGTTATCATTATTATTATTACTATTATTATCATCATTATGACTTATTAAGTAAGCAAATATCATTCCCCAAAACCTGGGGGGATGATTGTACATGCCATCCTCCCCACCTTGTGAGGTGGGGGATGCATCCCCCTCATCCCCCCGTTGTCTACGCCCCTGCGCAATGCAATGGCAAGATGAGGAGAACATAAAATGATCGCACCTCATTCAATAGAAATTGTAACCATACCTTGTCATAATGGTATTGGTAACACAAGGCAAACAAAAAGAATGAAATTATTGTCTTTCCTAACACTCAAAATTAATCGATCATAGTTTTGTTTGAAAAATGCTATGTATGACTATATAGCCTAACCCTCTGGTGGCCTTTTACAGCTTGGGTGCAGCCAATATCAGTAACTACGCAGGGGCGGATCTAGCTTTTTGCTAAGGGGGGGGGGGGGTTGACCAAAATAATGACGATGCGGGGCATCGTCCACGAGCCGCGAAGCGGCGAGCCGATTTTTTTTTTGGGTGTTTATTTGAACCCCGTAAGTGATGTTTTCCTGGCATCTATTAACGCAATGGAGACCATAAAAAGCAGTGCATGATAACGTCTTTTTAAATCAAGTAACAGTTAAATACACAGTGTTATATCCAGAGTTATCATGTGTTTGGTTAAGTTACCAGATGAGTTGAAAATCTTCTCACAATATTTGCACTTGAAAGGGTTTCTCTCCAGCGTGCGTTCTTTTTTCTTTCTTTTTTTTTTCACTTCGGCGGTGGCCCGTGTCCTCAAAAAAGCTGATGGGGGGGGGGGGGGCAAGGGACTCTGTAACATTTGTTCGCCCAACCCCCCCCCCCCTCCCCCCAAAAAGAAAAATAATAATAATAAAATAATAATAATAATAATAATAATAATAATAAATGAAATAAATACATAGAAATAGAATAAAATAAAATTACAAGTTTTAAAAAAAAAGATAAGATTTTAAAAAATGGTCCCCGGATTTTTTTTTGGGGGGGGGGGTTGCAACCCCCTCAACCCCCCTCTAGATCCGCTTCTGCTACGTCGGCCTTTAAGTGACGTTGTAGATGATGGTCGTTTGTTCAACTGTTTATTTCTTTTCTCTAATTTCGCCATCAATGGAAAGAGGTGGGGGTGTACCCCTTGACACTTCGAATTAATTATACAGCAATGAATTCTATGCTGAGTTCCATGATAAAGTTATATTAAGTTTAGTCGCGTCTAGATCAGTGCATTGAGGAGGACTGGCATGGGACGGTCTTACCTGGTTGATACAATGCGAAGAAGAAGACACCAAGTTATGTTCGGGTCAGGACGTTGATAGGGATCTTAATTTTACATTCCCTTTTCATTCTCAATTTCTTTCTTTCTAATCTATCTCGCTCTCTCTCCCCACCCCCCACCCCCCCCCCCCCCCCCCCCTCTCTCTCTCTCTCTCTCTCTCTCTCTCTCTCTCTGTTTCTTCTCTCTCCTTTCACTTTTGTCTTGTCTTTTTTTGTCATCGGGGGGGGGGGGGGCTGTCATCTTTGTCCCCATTATATTCTGCATATAATTTTAGAAGTTTATTTGATCATTTTTTTTTAAAACCCTTACTATCCTTTGATGATGTTTTTAAACCCCTTACTATCATTCTATCTTTCAGTCGATCACCGTCGAACTACGGACGGGCAAGAAAATGTGCCGGGCGGCCAATCCCGATGTCGACTGGGGATTCTTTGAGCTTCACGCCATCGGTGTATCTGGAGACCCCGACCTCAACCGTGAGCGCGCTGGCAAGATCTTGACCTTCGCAGAAACCGAGATCGGACTACCGCAAACAAGGTGAGTAAAGAGGGGCCTGTTTGCACGGGGATACTGTTAGGAGTGCAGGGCCCCCAGGGAGAACAGTATTGATACCGATGTGGCTACCCTGGAAAACAAGACATATTATTATTACTATTATTATCATTATGGAATCAAGAGCCATTGATGATTATTATGTTATATTGATATTGTATGTTTTTATGTATGCACGGCCCTACGGAAGAACAGTCCGCGGGCTGAGGTAGGCCTCCGTGCTTAAATAAATAAATGAAATGAAATGAAATGATTATTATTATTATTATTACTATTACTATCATTTTTATTATTATTATTATTATTATTATTATTATTATTATTATTATTATTATTGTTGTTGTTATCATTATCATCATCATTATTATTATAGTTATTATGAGTTTTATTGTTGTCGTTGTTCTTTGTTACTGTCTTGTTTTCGTTTTAGAGGACGGTCTTTAAGATCCCTACCTTTATGTTTAACACAATCCAAACGATATGCAAGCAAACTAAATTTTGATTTATTTTAAAGAGAGAGAAAGAGAGAGAGAAGAGAGAGAGAGAGAGAAAGAAGAGAAGAGAGAGAGAGAGAGAGAGAGAGAGAGAGAGAGAGAGAGAGAGAGAGAGAGGCAAAGGGAAGAGGAAAGGGGATGGGGGGGGGGGTCTTTCACTCCTTTTCTTCTCTCTTTTTCAGCACTTTTCTCTCAAGTCCCTTCATCTAAAATACCTACCCATAACGATCTCAATGCCCCTCCGTACTTTAATAGATATATTCTTGAACGACAGTACAATATCGTCTGAATGTATAATGTGAAGTGTCAAATAATATTGTTTTGTTAATGCATATAGAACCTACATCATACATCAAAATATACATAATCGATTATTCAAAGGTATAACTAACAAATGATTATGACTACCCCCCCCTTCCTTTTTCTCCTTCACCTTCTTTATTCCACTACAGTTGTTTCTTCATGATGCACAACAATGACCCAAAGCACATTGGACTAGGTGACAACAAGTTGTGCGCTGATCGCCCCCATTTTAAAAACTACACGCCCATCGAACTCTTCAATGACATGCGATCCTAGATACAAGATAAATGTCGTGAATTTAAAGGGATAGTTGAGTTCTGTTTTCAGACCGCAAGTGCCTTCAAAGTGCATGGTTATTGCTCTTATTCTTATCTATGACATTTCTAGTGCCTTTTTAGAACCTAAAATTGCTATGAAGGTAATTTTAGACCCCAAAATGTCTGAATTTAGCCAATACGATCATACCAATTCAGCTCCATTTAAAAAAAATACCGTGACCGTTAATTAATTATTTAATTAAAAATAACAATACATGGGCAGGCTGGTTGTGCATAATATAGAAATCGTTAAATTTATGGATAACCAACACGAAAATGCCAACAAAAAAGCCAACATCGGCATTGGCTGAGATAAGACGTAAAAGGTGATATTTCGTTTTTTAACGGCTTTTTCAAATTATCTGATATTTGTGGTGGTACACAAGTTTTAGAAATCGTTATATTTATGGATATTTCAGCTGTCTCTGAACCGATTTTGATCAAACAAAGATGATTTTGTCATTTAAATTGTATGTTCTTTCAAATTTGACACTCAGTTTTTATTATCCCTTTAACTATCCCTTTAACTGAAAGTCACACAAATTTCCTTCTGTTTTTCGGTACAATGTAATAAAACATATCGTTTCACAAAATCGTTTTGAGTACAAGTTCACCGAAACCATAATGAAACACGTGTTAAATTGAATACACGCATTTCAGCGGCTTGTCGGTGAACTTGTATACTTGTGGCGGGTTCGTGAAACGGTGCCCTGCAAGTACATATCAATAATTTAACACATTGGAGGCGGAAACCAGGAAAGCAAGGCTTGTGTCGGAAACGCCCATAACAAATAAACACAATTGTGTGGCTGTAAGAAACATCATTAAGTAGTGAACCAGTTTCTTTCATCTAAATAAGGAATCGATTATGGAAGAGAAATCATAGTATAGAATAGATGACACTTCTTTTAAAACAGAGCAATTATTGAACCACATTTTAATTTTGATTAAATATATGATTTTCCACAGTAGAGAGAAGGGAAACCCTCCAAAAGCAAAAGAAATAGAATATAGATTGTTGGGAAATAGAAATGAAGAGAAAAAACTTTCAATGGAAAGAGACACACTTTCAATTCATTTAAGGAAATGGGAAGCTTTGGAAAGTTTAGAATAAATGTTTTCAGTTTTTTTTTTCTCAATATACAACTTCCTAACCCTCCTCTCTTCTCTCTTTTTTTCTTCTTTTTTTTCCCCTCTACTTTTGTTTGTTTGTTCGTTCTATGTTAGTGTGTGTTGTGTATACTATTGTACATGTTATGTGTTTAAATGTTGTGTGGGGGGGGGGGGGGGGGGTAGTAGGTGTTTTGTATAGCTTTTTCTCTTTTATATATATATATAATTTTTTTGTCTCCAAAGGAAAATGAAGAGGTGTAACTTTTGTATGTAAATGTAAAAGATCATTGGTAAATTTATAAAGACCTATATGTTAAATTATTTTGTTATTTTGTATCCAATGTTATAAATGTACAATTTTTCTTTGAGAGAAATGAATAAAAACCTATGAAAAAAAAAGTAGATGGAGAAACAGTCATAATTATTCTCATCCTATTTATTTCTGTGCCTCCAAATGAGGGATAGGAAGGGGGCTTCCCCGATTCTACATAATATTAAGGTTTACTTTTTTACCAGTGGTTAAAATATGAAGCTAGGTCATGTTCTATAGACTTTTGTTAACAATATATTAAAATTGAAACAAATGAACGCAGTGCTGTTATTTTATAACAATTTGTACATAAACCTAACCTGCATGTAAATCGTAATGAGCACTGACAAAGTAACGGTCAGCAGGATTGAAATGAGCAAATTTTAAACTTTGAGAGGACAGAAAATAGTAAGAGATTTGATGAAGTTTAACTTAAATAGTCGTGAAAGAAAGTTAGAGTGTGATAAATCGTAAGAGTGTGAGGGAGAAAGAAGAACGAGAAAGTGTGTGTGTGTTAGAGAGAGAGAGAGAGAGAGAGAGAGAGAGAGAGAGAGAGAGAGAGAGAAGGGGTGGCAGAAGAATATAGTTTTGGGAGAGCGGGAGTGAGGCGGAGAGAGATTGAGACAGAAGAGACAGGTAGCTAGGGAGAAAAGGATATACTAGATGTTTTGGGGTTTGGAACAAATTAAGCGAAATATGGTAGTTACTAAAATTATACCTCTGTCTGTCTGTCTCTCTCTCTCTCTCTCTCTCTCTCTCTCTCTCTCTCTCTCTCACACACTCTATTCTATCTACATCTCCCTCCGCCGCTCCCTCTCTCTCTCTCACTTTATTTATATAATATAATTATATAATATATCTCCCTCCGCGCCCCTCTCTCTTTCTCACTCCTTTCTATCTGTCTCTCCCTCCGCCCACCCTCTCTCTCTCTCCGTCTCTTACTCTCACCCTTTTCCTTCATCAACATTGTTTTACTCATGTAATCGTTATGCATTCTCTTCGTCGAGCCTTCACTTTCTTTATTATCTCCCCTCTCCCACTATCTCTCTCCCCATTGCTCTAATTAACTCTACTTTTTCTTTCTTGCTTGATATAACTATGAGAACAAAATGGGGAGATTCACATGGCCTCAAACTTTTACTTTACATCAAGAAATATTATGGCCTAAATTTTACGACACGCTTAGGGAGGGGGGGGGGGGGGGGGGAGGGGGGGGGGGAGAGGCCATTGAGTTCTTAAAGCCACCGTTAAGAAATAAAGAATGCATTGAACAAGGATCAATAAAGCATACAATGTCATCGTGGACACTTCTGTTTTACATCTTATCCGGTGTGCTCCAAAATCATTAAAATATTTATAAGTAGGCCTATTTTTTTTTTTTTTTTTTTTTTTTTTTTGGGGGGGGGGGGAGGGCACAACCAACCAACTTCTTTTAAAATCTACTCTTGGTCTTGGTTACCTTAAGCACAAAGAATAAACATTTGCTCTTTATTGTTCTCATGAGCCCATTTTCAAACATTATTTTGATCTAAAAGTCATGTAGGCCTATAAACTGAAACATGATTTGTGTTTTTTCTTGTCAGAGATTGCTCGGAATTATACCGCCTTCTTTTTTTAAACAGAATCCTGGATCCATGCCTTCTCCTAACCACCAGTCACAAAACGAGCTGATATCATCTAGAACGTGTTCTCTTTCTGCTTTGATGTCTTGCCAATCACCCACGCATCTTCCACGGTGCCGTCACCCGGGGCGTCCTCCGGGGCGTCATCCTGTGTGTTACCAGGGGCGTCACCGGGGGCGTCATCCTGGGTGTTACCAGGGCCGTCATCAGCCAGGACGCTAAGGATCAACCTGATAAAATCAATGTCGTTCGGTCCGACCGATGGAAGACATAGATGGTAGATCATGTTCACCGTCAGATCGCGTTTGGTCTTCACCGTCTCGCTGTACTACCCCGCAGATTAGGTCCGATGTGATGAGAGGGCGCCGTCGACCCTGCGGGAATGCACCTGGGATGGGGGTACTGGAGAGCCAATTGATAAGTCGCAACAGATCTCGAAGAAGAGCTTCCCTTTCTGACATAGTGCGAAGCTATATGAAACAGGAGGCAAAATCTTTGCATGACTAACGGATATCTCTGAAATCTTTCTTTTTGAAAAACAGAGAGATATGTATGTTTACATTCATATACGTATAGTATGCATAATTTAAAAACGAACTTTATCATTTTTCTTTAGCCTAGTAATTGTACTTTGGTATGAGCATTATATTCAGTTTAATTTAAACTGCATTATAATTGTATCAAGTTTAACACAGTAGAGAATTCAAATTATTCGATTGTCCAAGGAGCTTATAATAATGGAAAAAATTGTCTTCACAAAACCATTATCCAACTACACTTTAGTTTACATATTTGAATTTTGTTCGCGCAAGGTACGCATTGTTTTCTAATAAGGCCTGCGAAAGAAAAGGCTCATTCATCTCACGTTTGTCATCCAATGCACCTTCTTATAGGCATCTCACAATCTGAAGAAACAAAATTTCTAAGATATTTCCCATGCCCACTTTGAAACTCCGTGTTATACATAGCCCCTGTTTTCGACTCACCGGCAGTGCCTGAGCAGTGGCGGATCCAGGGGGGGGTTAGGGGGGTTGCAACCCCCCCCCCTTGGGCGGCCCCAAAAAAAAAAAAAAAAAAAAAAAAAAGGGAAAAAAAAAAAAAAAAAAAAAGAAAAAAAAGAAAGAAAAAAGAACGCACGCTGGAGAGAAACCCTTTCAAGTGCAAATATTGTGAGAAGATATTCAACTCATCTGGTAACTTAACCAAACACATGATAACTCTGGATATAACTATGTATTAAACTGTTACTTGATTTAAAAAGACGTTATCATGCACTGCTTTTTATGGTCTCCATTGTGTTAATAGATGCCAGGAAAACATCACTTACGGGGTTCAAATAAACACCCCAAAAAAAATCGGCTCGCCGCTTCGCGGCTCGTGGACGATGCTCCGCATCGTCATTATTTTGGTCAACCCCCCCTTAGCAAAAAGCTAGATCCGCCCCTGCTGAGCAACTCCAACAACTGCTATTAGAACAGCGACCATGCAGAGCAACCGAGACATCCTGATCAAGATTCAATGTTATTTGCGATAAAAATAATTCGTGTTGGCAAAGAACCTGAAGCACACACCCGTCCTTCTGGCTTTTATTCGAAATGAAAATGACGACGAGACCTCGCCCAATCTGATGTAGGCCATTCTATTTAAAAATTTTAATTATCTGAAGCCCTGTACTTTCCTTAGTGCAGAACTTGTATTACTCTCCAAAATAATAATTATTTCTTTTAAATTATGCATAATATATGATCAAGCCTTTATTATCAATGGTCTGATACTCGCTTTATTCTCTCTTCAGAAAATATACTGTACTGACAAAGGTGATACAAATTCCGATGAATGTTGATAGCTCCACCCGAGGTCAAGTGGAGACACTGAACCGACTCGGGTCACCAAACAAATCAAACAGCCTGACCCCGGCCAGTGATAACCCCCCCCCCCCACCAAATCCAGAAGATTGAACGTCGCCCCCAGTAACTTATAGAGTGTAGTCTATTACTGTTAAATTCTCAGTGGCAGATCTATACTTCATCGGCAGGAAGGGAGGGAATTAATGGTGGCTATTTTACCTGACTGCTAAGAAAGCATAAATGCTTGTAAGTAAGCAACCAGACGGCAAACGGCTTAAGGTCCTCTCTGAGGGACCTGGTAATGAGGATTAATGCCTTACCAAAGGGCACTGGCGCATCGCCTTGGTTTCGAACCCGGGTCACCGGATTACGAGACCACTGCTCTACCGACTGAGGGGGGGGGGGGGGGGCGGGAGGCGACATGTCTCTTTCTACTCCAAAATTCTATGACAAGAAAATAGAGAGAGAAGAGAGAAAGAGAGACGGAGGAGGGGGAGGGGGTTGCTTCACCCTATTTTTTCTTAACCCGTTGACTACCGGATTTTCACTTTTCTAAAGGCTTAGTACAGAAACCATCCAGCTCTAGTAGGCAATGGGTTGACTTGAAGCTTATGCCTTACATTTTCATTAAAGGGATAGTTGAGTTCTGTTGCAGAGGGCGCTACATAATTTTTTTTGTGAGATAATGAAAAACTGAGTGTCAAATTTGAAAGAACAGACAATTTAAATGACGAGCACATTTTTTTTGTTTTTTTTTGTCAAGGATTAGATAAAAAATTTCGCAACGACTCAACATGCCGCTGAATAAGCGGGGGGGGGGGGGGGGGGGGGAAAGAGTAAGAGCACTTTTTTTTTCTTTTTCTTTTTGTCCCGAAAATTTGAAAATGTTGCCGATCGATATTTCGTTCCGTTAGGGGGGGGGGGGGGGGGGGGTAAGGTCACCTTTTTTCTTTTTTGTTGTCCAGGATTTGATGAAAAATTTCGCAACGACTCAGCAAGCATTGGCGGGGGGTCCAGGGCCTCAGACCCGGCAAAGGCTCAAGGGGGTGAGCCCCCTGAAGCTCAGGTTTTTAGGCATTCAATTACGGTCAGATAAGCATAATTATATACCTTATTTGTGACACTGGCAGGTCACTAATATTTATTGGCGGGAAGTCCAGGGGATAGAGCCCCCGGAAGCTCAGGGTTTTTAGGTATTTAATTACGGTCAGATGAGCATCCAGGGGCCCGCCCTAGGGCCCTTGGTAGGGTCCAGGGGGCAGAGCCCCGGATGCTCGGGGGGGGGGGGTTATGTATTTAATTACGGTCAGATGAGCATCCAGGGGCCCGCCCTAGGGCCCTTGGTAGAGTCCAGGGGGCAGAGCCCCGGGAGCTCGGGGGGTGGGTGGGGGTGGGGTTTAGGTATTTAATTACGGTCAGATGAGCATCCAGGGGAACGCCTTAGGGCCCTTGGTGGGGTCCGGGGGCTGAGCCCCTGTAAGCTCTGGGGTTTTAGGCATCGAACATTTGTGACATTGGCAGGTCACTTCTCTTTTTCTTTCTTTTTCCCTGTAACATACTTTTTCAAAAAGTGAGGGGTGGGGGGGGGGGGGGCCCGAGCCCAGCCGTTCTGCAGGCTCTGACATGAAGGCTCCTAAATAACCATATATTTCGCCCGACTGTAAAATTTGGGAATTCTAATTTTTCAACAAACGCATAAAAAGGTATTCCGGAAAATCATGTAATTTCAGCAACATTTGTAAATCACTGGTATCGAATAAGAAATGACCCCCCCCCCCCCCATCAGTACGCCAGCGTTAGGACCTCATGTCTTCTCACCCCTATAACAAAAAAGACACACGCTACCCCATCCTCTCACAATATTTCCACGATATATGCGCGTATCGCTAATATTAAAACCTCCATTGATAAAAATAGGTGGCATGCGGAATGTTTAGGAAATTTAATTCCTATAAACTTTCCTTTTCTTTGAATGGTATTTTACATGTGATTTAATTCAGGTTGTTATTATTGTTATGCTTGGGTTCAAAATACAACCAATCTTTACTCCTTTGCTGCTTTTTTTTTTTTTGGGGGGGGGGGGGGCAAAAATGCGTTTTGCCCGACCCCCCCCCCCTGCCACCCCACTTCCGTCGCCTATGGTGAGACCCATATGGAGCTGTAGCCTTAGCTGCAGGGTGTTGGCCCATCTTGAGCTCAGTATCAAAAGAATTAAAACCAAAAAAAAAAAATGAACTCAACACCCCCACCTTGACCCACCCCCAAAAAGAAGGTAAAATTATGGTTACCATGTTTGGCGGGAAGTTTTTTTTTTCATAAACCGGGATCTACATCGAAGCGGGAGAGCGGGAGGAAGGGCGTGGTGGCGGGAGTCTGGTGTGATGGGGGCTCAGTACTGTGGAGTATGTAGGCCGATTGTCCAGTATGACTGTAAGGGGAAGGCAATCTCTCCCTAAAAAAAAAAAACACAACAACATCTGGGTATATAGGTAGGACTGAATTTTTCTCTCTAAACATAAACAAAGTAACAATTATTACTGATCTTATACTATGTGCTGATGGCATTTCATCTACTTATTTAAACATGCTAACTCTCTCAGCCTTAACGGCTGTTTTCAGAAAATCCGTGTGAACTGAATAACAATATACAAATTATAATACAAACAAAAGCCAGTATTACAAAAAAATATTAAAAACATAAACATAATGCAAAATAAACGAATCAAATCAAAACAAAGGTGATGAAGAATAAGAATAAGAATAGGAACCAAACACTGAACAAACAAACAAAAGAACAAGAAGAAACACAACATCAATAAACAAACAAACACATATCAGAGGATCCCCGGGGAGCAGGACGTACGTTACTCAAACGCACAAGTTGGATGAAATCAAGCAAATTATATTATTTTCATTCGGCTGAAGGCTCGAACTATTCAATTAATTTTTTCCATACACGATTCGGCGTAAATAACTGAATGACAAGCTCTGGAAAAAGAAAGAAAAGAAAATCATTAGTGACGAACAACAACATCAAAACCCCCCTCCCCCACCCCCATCCATCTCTCTCTCTCTCTCTCTCTCTCTCCCTCTATTCCCTTTCATCAGAATAATGTCTATCGTGATTATGGTAATCGCCTATTTTACACTTCTATTCGCCAAGCTGAGAGAAAACAAGATGTTAGACAAATTGTGGAAACCACGAAAGCATTCGTTCATTCATTCATTGTTATTGTATTCTTTCTATTATTGACTAAACCCGGTGGCCATTATTACCGCAGCGTCTTACAACAAATCCGCCCACGAAATGAATATTCATGAGTACACTCCATGGAAACGCGCTAGTTGGATGTCATCAAGGCAGTAAGGCCACAGACGAAGTGGCTGGTATTTTTCACTAAAAACGTAATATTAGGAAATAAAAATGACATCAAGAGAAGACACCAAATCGTACCTTTCTCGGAGGGAGATACCTCAGCTTTTTGAGGTGAGTTTTCACTTTATATTGATATTTCATTAATTTTAACTGCCTTACAAATGTTCGTAATTCACCCCGTTATGCGATTATGTAGTCCCACATACTGGAAATGCGGATGTGGCTGGGGAAGCTTACGCATGATTGACTCGAGTCTCGATCGAGTCGTCAAGTCTGACAATAGAGTTGAGAACTTGTCTTGAGACTGTTGGCTCGTTGATTGTCGACGTCTAAAGCGTAATTTTACAAGTAGACTTTTATGTAGGGGGTCTACATCAACTACATTCACCTTGCACTGGATACCATGGCACAGTTTTTGATTAATTACCCTAGATCTAGATCTATAACCAAAAAAAAGTCCCCCCAAAAATGTCATCTCTCAGTCTCAGTCTCAGTCTCAGTCTCAGTCTCAGTCAATGCAATGTCTTCAAATCCAAATTAAAAACATATTTGTTCAATTGAGAGATTCTGTTTTGTAGAATTTAGTAAAAAAGGAGCTATGAACTAGCACAGCTGAATAGATCTATATTTTGTATACAAATTACAAGCTGCGCTATAGCTATAGATCTAGGCCCGTAGGGTCTAGGCCTATCATTAATGTAAGTTTTCTGGTACAAGTAAAAGAGTTTTATCCCACACCGCTGCCACCAGAAAAAATGTGAGTTTCTGGTATTCTACAATAATAATTCATAGGCAATTTCAACAAACCCACTCAAGAACAGACACATTCGCGAACTCCTACTACTAGTACTACTGAGAACAGTGCGTGATTGGAACCAGCTTAAACCGAAGACTATCGCCCACACCGACCCTGTCAAATTCAAAATAGACTCTCTAGCCCTGCATTTGGAATTATATTTTCTACATAGTGTAGACTCTATGCTATATTCATTTTTCTTTAAGATCTACATCAATACATGTAATTAATTATTTATTATTGTTATCATTCCTTTATATATATTGTAATGTTATTAGATCTAGCCTAGGCCTACATGTAGATTAGTATTTTTAGTATTTATAACTATTGTTACATGATGACAATAATAATAATAATAATAATAGCCTAATAGTCCACTCCAATTTTAAAAAATTATTATTGATAATAATATTATCAATATTATTGTTAATTTTTATAGTATTATTGTTATCATTATTATCATCATCATCATCATCATCATCATCATCATCATCATCATCATCATAATCATCATCATAACTAACAATCATAATTGAGGGTTAATCGATACCATATCTCCATTCCTTTTTCAGAGTCTCATGACAGGGCTGATGTACAACAAGCCTGAGAACCATGTAGAATACATGCTCAATTGTCTGCAGAAGGTCCAAGGTAGCCCAGAGAAGACCAACGCTGTCAAATGGAACACATTTGTGGAGAACGTAAAGCGGACCCCCAGTCCCCTGCCACCAATCCAGCTCGACAATGGAGCGAGGCAGCCTACATTCACTACAGGTCAGTCTCATATCATATCATATGAACCTTCAATTTCAATTTCAATTTATTTGTGTTTCCAACAAAACATTACAAATCAATTATAAACATTTACAACAATTTAGGAATACATATTGGAAATAGAGGGGTCCACTAAACAGCAATGGGTGTACAAGTTTGGACACCTCAAATGATACTTAGGAATAATGACTAATTAAAATGAACAAGTCCGTAACTACAAATAAGGGGAAAAAGGAGAGGATGACAACAGAGACGAATCAGGAGAAGACAGTATTTCACATGACAAAGATCGGAGAACACGGTCATAATACAAAGAGTATAAACATTGCCCCCAAAAAAAGGTGAGTGATCAGGGGTACAAAACATAATACAAAATAATGAGCTGCATGTGGGGTTGAGAAGAAGATAAGTAAAGAGAAACCTTATGGATTCGGGATAAAAACAAACAACTACATACGGCTTGGGTATTTTTTACTTTTCTATGAAGAATGTAAAGAGAAGGTAGTGCTGACTCAAATCACCTATTTGGATTATCAATGATTTAGAATTAAGTGCCATTTCTTGCAAGTACATGTACTGTAAGTGTATATCACACAGAAATATAACCTTTGTTGTGAAATCTACCATATTGTTGGTTTCGCTGCAAAATAGCATTACATCATTATAGCACATGATGTATATCGTTTTCATGCTCATTTGGAGTTACATTAAAAGAAATATGTTCATTATTTTTTTCAACCAGCTCTTGGCTGTTAATCGTCTACACCTTGCAGTGTGTTTGTATTCCCCATTACCTAATGTACATGTGTATTTAATGCTCCTTAATACATACAAACCACAATCAATACTATTGATTAGTTCCCCAAGGGTGGAAAAACTCCCTCTTTGTGAAAAGCAGAGGAGTGGCTGTGAAGAAAAAAAGTTAAATAGCCTCTTAAGGACCATTTAAGTGTTGCTAAAATCCATTCTCTCTTAATCGTTTGTAATGATATACATTTTTCATCTGCAAATAATTTGTAATAATGTAGAAATAAAAGCAATTTGAATTTCGGCTTGAAATTTTGTCTTTTTTTGTTCTCACCTTTTCTCTTTAGAACCGAGCCTTGCAGATATGAAGAGATTAAGCCCCCTGCCTCCAATTTCTCCTAAACCAAATCTGGCCCATGTACGAATAATCTTGGTCATTGGTAAGTTACTTATTATTATTCTATGTCGTGTTTAAAAATTGTACTAAATTTTCTGCTTTAGTAATTTTGCTTGCACATTTTCTTATTATGGACCTTAAACAATTGTTATGATTGGAGTCAAAAGAAAGATACAACCTTTTAGAACATTGTAGATTATGTGCATGTTGGATAATTAATTCTAATTATCTATGTGTTAAATATGTGGAAATATTGAATGGATGTGATTGTCAAGATGAATGAAAAAAAGGGAAATAAATACTAAACCGCCATACATACAGTGGGGTACTTTTAAGAGACAACATGTATACCTTATGTATTTCAAAAAGAAATTGCCTGTTATCACAGATTTCTAAGCCTCGTATGCAAAGCTAGCTATTTGACATTTAAGAAACTGCCTTCATGTACTCAATACTTTTCACATGGTTAAATGCCCACACACACATAATTCACTGTTGACTTTTTAATAATCCTTGGAACCACCACTGTGCGCTCCACTGTGTGGTTGCTTAGCAACAGTGGCAGCCAAATAGAAGGCAATTGAAGGCATTTAACTGTAAGATTGAATAGGTGCATGTACAAAACATGTGGATGCATTGTTAGGCAATAATAACTTACAATTTAAATATGTCTTTAGTAGGCTCCATTGAATAGCAATTCCTACTATTTTTATTGAGAGAGGGGGAGGGGGGTGGTAAACAAATTTAAATTCAAATTCAAATTTTATTGATTTCAATCCAAACAGATAGATGTAGGATCATTCTCATTATTATTTTGTCAATTTTGTGTATACATTGGATAACAAATTTCAAAATTATAGTGTAACTTACAGTTGTAGATAATTGAGTGTAAGAGTAAAAATAACAATAACCTGGAATGACTCAAATTAACATACTACTGCATGTCTCTTCTGATATATAATATAGGGATGAAAATAAATTATATTACTCATAATACTTTTTAATTTGTTTCCCCTTTTTTTTCAAATAAAATATAACAAACAAAAATACAACATGTTAGTAAGACAATAAACATATATGTTTTATGATCACCAATCCCTCCTCACAAGATGACCCCGACAACTCGACCGTATTCCAAATCCAAACTCGTGGGAGACAGTGCAGCATGGGAAGACTTTTTTACAATACTAAATTACATCAAGATTAATAATAATGGTAAAAAGCAATCAATGATCTACTAATTTCATATATGGTCGTATTTCTATCATGTAATTTGATGTTGCAAAGTCAAAATATATTAATAGTATAAAGATAAACAGCCATGTAAACATGTATTGTCTATTTACTTTATGTTTTTGCCGGAACACCATTTTGAGTTGTTTGATGAAGATGTAGATATGCTGCATACATTTTAGTTTACAATGGGTACTTGGGTAGTGTATTTGCTGACAGCACAGATATGATTATGACAGAAGAGATATGACTATGGACATCCCTGTTTGTTTGCAGATCTGAAATGTTACATGGGTATCTTTGCTTCAGATTCTGAAACAAAACCCTTGATTTAGCTCATGCTGCATTCATAATTATAAACCTTTAGGTCAGTCTGGAACCATGACTTTTACAAGCCGATCACTTGTCTGGTTATCAAGATATATATGATTGGAAATAAAAATTTCAAAAGTTTTCCTAATGGTTTTTATAACACTACAATCTATTGGGGAAAAATGAGTACGGTAAAAACGGTTACTCAAAGATTTTAATTTTGGGGGCACTTTGTGATCATTTTGAAGCGCAATTTTTTTTAGGGCTTCAATACCATATTACACTGATAACAAGTAGGGCCATGCATCTCAGATTTAACATTGTTAAACAATGCCTTTAATATTGGGAGATCTTATTTTTCACTCAAGATGAATTAGGAATGTGTGTTGTTGATCCATTTTAGTGATATTGATATTTGAACTTCTCTTAATCAATACAAATCCCCTTTGATTTTTCATTTGCCTGTCTTTTACTTAGTCTGACAGTATACCTAAGTGACCTAAGTCTGACCTTCTCTCTTCTGTTTTTTAATCTTTGTCACGTTTCTGTCTGTCACTTATCCTTCCTTTCTTTCTATTTCTCTCTCTCTGTTTCTATTAATTTGTATTTTCTTCTATGTCCTCTCTTTCTCTCTTCCTCCCGCTCCCTCTCTTCTTTTACAATCCTCAAATCCTCAAATTCTCTCTTGCTTAACTTCCCTTTTCCTTTTTCCTTATACAAAAAATAATACATCCTTAATCCTCCCAAAATTCTTATTTCTTTAACATTTTGACTACCGTTACTTTTATTTATGTTTCTCCTTAGAGCTAATTTTCTTTTTTGCCATCTTTCATGATTTTATACTTTATATATTATATTCATCTTTTCCCTTTACCTCTAATCACCCCTCTCTCTCTGACATTTCATGAATTTTGCTTAAAATTCTCTATTTTAAAAAATGTCACCCTCTCTCTCTCCCTCTTTCTCTCATTTGCAATCAATCCATGATAAAGACCAACCTGCTTATTTCATTGCCCTTTTTTAATCAATATATTTTAATCATGACAAAAAGGAAAGGTACAATATTTAACACTATTTAAAACAACCCCAAGGTTATTGTGCTTCTTGTAGGCATGGAGTTATTCATCCATGGTTAATTTCATGCTTTCATAATTTTATTGCAGAAAAAAAAAATTGCAGGTGAAATTTGTGTCACTACAGGACGTCAAATTAATAAGATTACAGTTGCCCTTGGAAAACAATTTTTATGTACATTTATGTACAACACATAATTGATGGATTATTGCATTATTGAGTTGTCCCTTTTCACACAAACACACTCTCTCTCCGTTTGTCTATTTTTTCAATTTCTCTCTCTACCATTATTCTGTCTATCATTTGTTCTCTCACTCCCTCACTCAACCTCTCTTTTTCTCTCTCTCTCTCTTTCTCTCTCTTGCTCTTTCTCTTTCTATCTCTTTCTCTCTCTTAATCTATCTCTCCCTTTCTCTCTCTTAATATATCTGTCCCTTTATCTATCTCTCCTTTCTCTCTCTTAATCTATCTCTCTCTTTCTCTCTTCCCCTCTCTCTCTCTCCCTCACTCACTCAACCTCTCAATCTCTCTCTCTCTCTCTCTCTCTCTCAATCTCCCCCTCTCTCTTTCTCTTTCTCGATCCCCCTCTCTCTTTCTCTCCAACGTACTAATTAAGAAGAGATAAGTAGAGGTACAGGGTACATATTGTGGTTCAGAGAATTAGTGACCAGACTGGTCCATAAGGTACAGGGTTCAAGTCTCTGCCACATTAAAATCATCTGGAAATGCCACACTTGTACACATGGAAATGGTACTGGTAGGGAGAAATTCCTGTAACCAGGGATGCTAGCTTCCAGGATTTTGCCAGATTTCAAGTCCTCACACCTCTCTGTAGTCTGTTACATGTACATATTCTTTTAAAATACTTTGTTAATTGTACACGATGCATGTGCCTTCAAATGTCAGGGTCTCTTTTTCAAGCTATTTTGATATAATAGCGCAGTATACATGTAAGTGCATTTGACCATCATCATAATTGCTAATTCAATTATGATTTAATCCGCTTTGCTCTTTACTCGTATCAGGCGGGCCTGGCAGTGGAAAGGGCACGCAGTGTGCAAAGATAGCCGAGCGTTACCAAGGCTACATCCATCTATCGCTGGGGACGGCTTTGCGGAGGAAGGTTGCTAAGTTCTTGGAAGACGATTCATGGAAGAGTGTGGCTGACCTGATCAAGACAGGAGGGCTAGTTAAAGATGTGAGATATATACAGTCAAACCTGCTTTAGTGACCACCTGTATAGAAAGACCACCTGTCTACAAAGACCACAGTTTCACTTGAAAATGGTTTCTCATTGAAACATGTACTAAAGGAACCTGTACATGTACATAAAGACCACCTGCCTATAAAGACCATTTTCTTGTCTCCCATGGGTGGTCTTTATAGACAGTTTTCACCGTACATGTATTCCACTACTTGACGTCAAATTTATAAGATGCTTCTTCTGTCATACATGTGGAGATGGTCGTACGTTCACAGAAAAAAAAATGATCTGATGTTTGACAAAGTATTGTAAACTATATTAAAAGAGAAGTCTACTCTGATATATAAGTACATGCACATTGATTCAAATAAATCAGAATAAATGCAGGAGAAACAGATTATTGAAGTCTTAGGTAAGATTTTCAACATTTGATGAGTGCTTTTGTGATTTCCTTGGAAGAGGCCATCTGTGATCAAATATACATTGCATTAAAAATCAAAGCTTTTTGTAATCTGTATAATATTTGCCTGTAATCCATCAATCTATTTCTCTCATTTTTCTCATTTCGTGTATCAAGACCAAATTATTATAAGGCTATAATTCCTATTTCAAATTTGGAGTACTGGCCTAGTATTTCAGAGAAATTCCACTCATTTCTAATGATTGATATACAAATCAAAGGATGTTAAAAGATTAGCCGGCAATCTAGCATAAATGGTTTCAGAAAAAGGAAAATATTCTCAAAATAATTTTATGCAGAAACAAACTGAAGTTTTTTTCATCTTGTTTACTCAAACACAAGTTTTAAACAGCAAAAAATAAAAAATTTGATAGGTACTGAGGTCAACTGAAATATATAATTTATCAACTTAGTTTACCGGTATTTCAATAATCAATATTTATAGAATTTTGTATGTTTATTATGTGAAATCTATTCATGTTCAATGGTTTATAGGACGACACTTATGAGATCCTTCAACACAAGATCGAGAAGAAGTTGAAGAAATACCCAACGACTCTTGGATTCATCATTGAGGGTTTCCCACGAACCATGTCCCAAGCCAAGCTATTCCAGGATAAGGTAAATATAGTAGCCAAGAATTTGTTGATATATTTATATTTGTATTTGTGTGTTTTGGAACATTATTCTTTCTCCATTATGAATGCTGCTCAGTGTGCAAAATTCAGGAACCTTCCTCCCCCCCCCAAAGAAAAAAAAATAAGAAACTGCATAAAAGTTATGCCCATTTTTGTGTCGGCACAAAATGCTTTACAATGTAAAGCGCATAGAGACATACCTTGTATAATGCGCTATAGAAATATAATTTATTATTATTATATTATATTATACTTGTTTTCTATTAAGTATTTAAAAGACTTCATGATTCATCTTGATTCTTATGATCGGAGCCACCACTTACATCCGTGTTCACTCTCAAAGGGCAGAAAACGCCAGAAATATATACTTTATGCTAAACATCAAAGAAGCCTTTTTGGCAGACCCCCAAATGACTACATAATTTGCCAAATATAGATACATACATTCCTCATTACATGAATACAAATATTGTTCCTTCATGTTTAACTTTAAATTTCATGTACCGGTACTTTTTTATTTCCAGTTTTTCGAAAGAAAAAAGACAGCTTTTATTGGTCAAGATTATTGAAAACAAGATACAAACTTTTGCACTGCAAGAGTAAAAAGGATTTAATTACCATTTTGACCCCCCCCCCCAAAAAAAAATCATTTGACAGTTATGTAATTGAATTGCTATTTGTGACTTGATAGCCCCCTTTTTTTTTGGAAGACTCATGTGCTGACATGTTTAAAGGAACATGCACTCAAATAATAATGATAAAAAAGCCATTCTTGTATACTGAGTATAAATAACATTATGACTTAATTACTTCTACTTCTACGACGATACTCAGCAGGATCCATAAGTCAGGATGTATAGTGCTGAGGAATAAACTATCTAATTAATGTACAGTATGTACTTCAGACTATAAGAGGTTTGGATGTTATGACTTTAACTCGAAAGCTCTATTCTCTATTTTTAATTTTAACTCAGTACGGAACCCCCGACCTTGTCATCTCGCTGGACTGCGATGAAGTGCGTCTCAAGTACCGTCTTGAGAAGAGGAAGGATACTAGCGAGAGAGAGGATGATAAAGAAGAAGATGTGGTTGCTAGGCGACTGGAAGCTTTTAGGGAGCAGACGTTGCCCGTCGTCACTCATTACAACGCCAAGGATGGCCTTCTTAGAGGAGTAAGATGCCATCCAATTATATTCTTAAATTCAATTGCTTTAATATAGTTTAATTTAGGATTGTATTTTTATGTTTTCTTTGGTTTTTAGTAATATTAAATCACAATTAGTTTTTTGTCAATGATGAGGAGAGAGCATTCTCCATGATAGAATCTTATGTTCTTTAATAGTTAGGTTTTAGCTCATTTTACTTCAGAAAAATCTGCAACTTTTTTTTAAAGTTTTATTAATCTGTATGAATCTTTGTTTTGGATGCATCATTTTCATCTCAAAGTGCAGAAGAAAGTTGTTAACGTTCTTTGACAGCTGAATGATAATAGTAATAATAATAATAATAACAGTGAAAATAATAATAATAATAATAATAATAATCGTCAAGTCTAAATGCTTTAAATTGTAATTGATGAGTGATGAAAATTCAGAAGAATATTTATTTGAAAGTTGAAATAAGTAATTCGAATTTAACATTCTTTTGTTGTTTTGTACAATATAATGGCAAGTGTTCCACCTCACCTTCCAATGGTCTATGTTTAATCTATATTATTATTATTATTGATGGTTATTTTGCAGGTAAATGCAGACCGGGATGAGGATGAAGTGTTCTTTGATGTTGCCAACATGATTGACAGTCTCTTCTTCTCACCCAAGACACCAGCACCACCAGGTAAGTCTGGTTATCAAGACTAAATAAAGTGACCTTGTATCAGCTGTTAACTGTATCTGCCCTTTCATTTGAATTCATATCTGATATCTGTTTATTTAGCTAACGTAACCTTATTATTATTTTGATATTGTTTTAATTAAATTGCGCATTAGGGCAGCTGGGCTAAAGCCAGAGTAACACTTTATAGGGGCATTGAGCTTCACCTGGGATTGTGCACAATATAAATGAAGCTATATTATTATTATTACCAGTAGTAGTAGTACTATTATTACTATTCCAGAGCTTTTTCATTATATGTTTTGCAGGGCCAGTTCATAAAGCGGGTACAAATATTTTTTTGAATTTTGTCTGTGGTTAACGGAATGATTTAAGATCAAAGATTCAAGATTTATTCAAACGTATCTAATTCATAACCAGTTTGGTGAATTAATTGTGAAAGTTTACAGATAAAAGACAAAATTTACAATACAGTATACAAATGTAACCAATTTACCATTAATATATGTACAGAATCAACAGATGGAAATACTAATAGCAATATGATTTTATAATCCAATTGTGTTATGTTTCTGTAATTTCATTAGGTTGAATAAGCTATTCAAACATGAATTATGCATGGTACAGACAATACAAGAGTGATTGATAAAGATTTGAACGAAATAATTTAATAGAATGACATCATCAAGTTATCAAGTTGGTTAAAGCAATTGTTATTCTTTGAATATATTGATATTTAATTGTAAATACAATAGAAATAATACAACCTGTTTTTGAAGCGTTAATAAATGAATGGCTGTAATGGCATGTACCATATCTTGAGATGAACTTTGTTTTGTTTTGTTTTGTTTTTAGGTACACCTGGGAAATCCAGTCCACTCCCTCCAATCAAAAGCCAGAAAGAAGATCAAACAAGTCAAGAGCAATCACAAGCAGAGGTAACTATAAGAGAAACATCCTTCATCTTTCTGATATGACTCACTGAGATTATTAATCCTAAAAGGGACGGGGTAGGGGATATCTGCATGGGTTTCACTCTCCTGTAATATATCCCCAATAACGTCTTAGATTTTTTTTTGCTCCATGTTTTCATAACTTTTAAGCCTTGAATTGGCGCATCTTTCGACGCCAAATTCATAACGTTCAAACTTTTTGCTGCACATCTAATTTGCAATCTCTGAGATACTAATACAGTGTACACACAAATTTTGTTATTACTTATCTCTATAAAGATAAATTATTGTAGATGTTTGTAAATGAAGTCTCAATATTTCATTTTCTTATTTTGGGGAATTCAGAAGCAATTATCAATGCAATTAGAAATAATGAAACATATTTAACTATTGCTTGAGATGAAGGTTTTAATTCAATTCATTTTTCTTTTCTTTATTTAATTCAGGCTGAAAAGGAAGCTCTCGTTGATGAAGCAGTTGCATTACTCAACAGTGGAGTTTCTGTGGATTGTAAGTTTATACATCTTTCTTTATTTAATTACCCTCTTATTGAAATTAATTAATTAAGTGAGAAAAGGAAAGACAAACATTTTTATGATAAATTAAATACAATTTCAACCAGTGAATTTATTGAAAGATTGTGTTGTGTTCGGATAAAATGATATACAGTTAACTTGCACAAAGTTGTATTTTTGTTGTTGGTAAAGCAAGAGAAATGAGAAGGGAGCAGAAGGATACATCGGAATAATAAATTGGTTATACAGTCAAACCTGCTTTAGTGACCACCTGCCTAGAAAGACCACATTTTTAGTTTCCCTTGAAAATGGTTCCTCATTACTAAAGGAACCTCTACATAAAGACCACCTGACTATAAAGACCACATTTCTTGTCTCCCTTGGGTTGTTTTTATAAACAGGTTTCACTGTAGCTCTTTTGATAATGTATTTTGTAATCCTTTCTTTCCTTGTGTTTTCAGTGGTTGTGGAGCCTGCTGTGGAGAAAGTTGATTCAAATGTAACAGGGGGAGGAGAAGATGGCAAATCAGAAGGTAATGAATAAATCATCATTTAGTTCTAATCTCTTTCACATACCAAAAAGTGCATTTGTATTTCATTTATTTGATCACAGTAGATATCTTCTCTCAATCAGCTAAAAGCTGTTTTTTCAGTTTTTTTCAAAGTTGGTTATCATCACCAAACTCTCCAGAATTCATTGTTGTAATCTATGTCAATAAATTAGTATCAATGTATTATCTTTTGATCTAGAAGGATCTGAATTACAAGATATACTTGAGCAGAAAGTTTAAAATTTCCATTTGAGTCAATTTCTAGTGCAGTACATTAATTGTGCTGTTAGTGAATGAGATTAAAATAATCAAAGATATTAAACTGGCAAAGCATACTTAGGCAAATGAATAATCACTATCTTTGTGTACCAATTGGCTATTTCTTGTAGATTTTTCATAACTTCCATTGACACTGTCTCATTTAATATACAATTAAAAAATAATAATATTGTATTCTATATTCCACAGTTAAATGTGCATGTAGCGAGACTTTGAATGTGCATGTAATTAAAAGCTATTTTTTTGTTTCATTTTTTTTCTTCAGTGGTAGAAGAAGCAATAACTGCAGAACAATCACCAGTGACAGGAGGTGATGATAGCACACTGCCCTCTACAGGTAGGTTTAAAACATTGTGGTCATGGTGACTATTGAAGGTAGATTTAATGGCAATATATACATGTAAATATACAGTATATAGCAGTATTGGTATATTTATGAAGACTATACAGATTTAGTTAATCATATTGATATTTGAAAATTGTTTAACAAAGGAATGGATAGACAATAGCAGATGCAGGTGAAATAGAAGGAGAACAGTATGCAAAAAGAAAGAGATGAAAAAGCAAGGAAATGAGAAATAAGGAGGAACAGGAACAGATGAGTTATATAAGGCATAGAAAGATTTATTTTGATAAACAAATATACTTTATTGATCAATCGGAGAGGAAGCATATTTACAAATAACGAGAAGTTAGGATACTACAGTTGTATTCCCAATTGCAGAGATCATGGAAATACAGAAATTGAAAAATGGCACATGCCTGTGATTCCTCTAACTTGTTTTCTTTTTGTGCTAAGATCCAAGGACTTGTCAATTAAAAGAATGCAAATGAGAAAACAAAAATACAGTAAGTATAGATATGTGTAATTTGAGTACCGGTATGTCCATTTTTATTTAGATAAATTTTGAATATTCATTAACATGTTTAATAACTACATGTTCCAATTGTTTTTATTGCAGATGGGAGCGCAGAAGCCAAGCTGAAAGATGCTAAGATCATTTTTGTTGTAGGTGAGTCAACTGCAAAGTTTATGCCACACATGTATAATAAAACCTGAAGTTAAAACTCTTGTGATTTGTTGCCTTCTCAGTGCATTGAAATATCATCTCCCACTTTTCACAAGAGTCTTAGTTTAGACAGCGTCACGGTCAAGCTAATGTTGGGAGGGGAGGGGGCATTCTGATGTGCAAATTAGTGTGTGTGCATAAGACTCTGTTCCTTTCCTGACCAATGTTTATATGTCTCTTTTTACACGCTGTATTGAAGGCAAAGTAAAAAGTTGTCAGAATGCACATAGGCCTAGTGTGTAGTAGATGATAACATCTATCGAAAGCCAAAAGGGTGTTAACGCACACACCTATTCAGAGAGTTTACGCCCTTTTGGTTATCAGTCAACAAATGTTTGAGAGAATACTTGGAAGAATATTTTAATATTACATTTGTATACAATGTAGATTTCATCCCGCTATTGCTGAGTGTGTCCAAAGTTGTGAAATGATGCATTCTATTTATCAATGACAAATTTGATTTTTCTGTTGCTATAGGGGGACCAGGCTCAGGCAAGGGCACGCAATGTGCAAACATTGTTTCCAAGTATGGCTTCACCCACCTGTCTAGCGGTGACCTCCTGAGGGCAGAGGTCGCGTCAGGGTCGGATCGGGGCAAGGAACTGACAGAGATCATGGAAAAGGGACAGCTTGTACCTCTGGTAAATAAGATCTTATCCATCATCAATTTTTTAATTTTTTTGTTGTTATTCCATTGAAAATTACATACATTAAGTTATTTTTAATCATATAAATAATAATTGATACTTTTATCGTGCAAATAATCATCATGCAAGGTGCTGAAGGCATTCTAATATTGCCTTGGTTCTGCCAGGCTACTGAATTTGGTGGTCAAAGCTTTCAAGGAATTCCTTCTTACCGGTACCAATTAAAACTTGGATGGAGAGTGGCAAATGTAGGTTAATGTCTTGCTTTATTGATGCCCTCATTGTCTCTTATTATGTAACTCTTAGAACTGGGAGGTCCTGGTTTTGAAAACAAGTTGATGCGCTAGTGCCCTTTGGTAAGGCATTAATCTTCATTACCAAGTCCCTCGGAGAGGAATTTATACAGCCGTCGATCCCCTGCATCCCTCAAAACAAACCAAACCATTTGTTTTACTGTATCTTATTTTAAAAATCCAGGATGTAGTGTTGGCACTGCTGAAGGAGAAGATGATCGCCAATGCTGAGACATCGACCGGGTTCTTGATTGATGGGTACCCTAGGGAAGTGGAGCAAGGAGCAGAATTTGAAAAGCAGGTAAGAATCAAACTTTATCTTCTTTGCTAAGAATTTGTCTGTTTCAAGACTGGTTCAACTCAGAGCTACCATGCATATAGTATAACAGCTGTTTGAAAAGATCATATTCCGGTAGTTGGCATTGCAGTAATGTTCACTGTTAGCTCTCTGTCTTCGCCTACAAAATAAACTGACTCCTGAGTTTGAAAGTGAGTCATTTCTTTCAAATGGTGATGAATATAGGTCAGTCCCCAAATGTAAATATATAATCATATCTGTTTGATTCAAGTCTGTAAAATTCCACTCATTGCACACAGTACACACACTCTCATGTTCACAGTCATTTGAGCTTTGGCATGATGAAAAAAATCTGTTTGTATTTTTCAAGAGTACTTTATTCTCTACCAGTATTTCAAAAGTATTATTCGTCTGTCTTGACTGTGATCTGATTATAGAGAATGTACATTCACATTTTGTTGTTGTTAGCTCTAGATAAGGAAGAATTTTTTTGTTTGGACTTAATAGTACTATTTCACAAGTAATATATTTGTCTTCACCAGTATCATTGATCTTATGATTGTGTCATACAGTTCTTAGATCTGACATTGCATTATGCTGCAAACATCTTAATTAATTGTTACTTGTACATGTATCATACACAAATATTATTTCAGTACTGATATCATTTGATGTACCAGTATTTCTAAAATATGTATGTAAATATTTATCTATATTTATGTTGTGTTGAGTTCCTCTTATCTCCACAAGTTTTATAAGCATATTATGAATCTATTCGTTCTGTCTGTGTTCAGATTGGAGAGTGCACGTTCACACTCTACTTTGAGGTGTCAGATGAGACCATGACAGCGAGGCTCTTGAATCGTGCAAAGACCAGCGGACGGGTCGACGACAATGAAGAAACGATAAAGAAGAGGCTGGCAACGTTCCATGAATCGACCAAACCTGTAGTAGATTGCTACACAGAGAAGGGAAAGCTCAAGATGGTCAGTGAGAGAGAGATAAACATTTTTTTTTCTTCCTACCCTTCCTTGAAAGTTGCTTAAAATTTGTAGGCTGGCTCAATATTTGTGATTTCATTTTGAGCTTTAAAAGAAATTACCATGTGAATGGGCAGAGAGAGGAAAACAAAATTGCACAGACTCTCCATTTTTATTGAATGATGTGTTGTTGTATAATACTAAAGATTCTTACAAGGAAAATAAGCATAAAATATGATTTAAAAAAATAAAATAATTGAAGATTGCAAAATAGATAGCGATCCACAATGACAATCTAGTTGCTATAAGAGAAGGAACAAATGATTGATCCTAACCTCTAGAACAATACTGTAATTTTACATCTTTTAAAAGTTCAGATCTACATTAGATGTTAAATTAAATTTCACTGTTGAAAATGGTGCATTTGTTTGTGACATATAGATGTACCTGTTGGGAAGCACATTTAGATGCAATATTAAAAATTTCTTAATTCCTTTGTAGGTCTCTGCTGAGGCAGGTTCAGAGGAGGTCTTCGTCCTGGTGAAGGAGATCTTCGATGGATGCGGTTTCAAGGCTCTAGAAGAACCCCAGACCACAGAGGAGGCTGCACCACCCACAGAGGATGCCACTGAAGCAACCGAAGCACCGGCTGAAGCACCCACTACAGGGGATGCACCGACAGAGGAACCAGCAGTCGAAGCAACAACTGACGCCCCTGCAGAGGCACAGGCCGATGCACCTGCTGTGGCACCAGCAACCGAAGAGGCACCAGCAGAGGCACCAGCAACCGAAGAGGCACCAGCAGAGGCACCAGCAACCGAAGAGACACCGGCAGATGCACCGGCAGAAGAGGCAGCACCTGCTGACGGTGCAGCGGAGACTGAGAAAGTGGAGGAGGCCAAGGCTCCTGCTCCCAAGGATTTCTTCTTTGTCGTTGGTAAGCATGATTGACCAAGTAAATCTTTGGAGATTCATTGATGGGTTGATCTTAGAAGCTTCATCATGACAATAACAAAGTTGATGGATGCCAGATAGATAGCAAATAGCATAACTTTAAAACATCAAAGCTGATGTTTCCAAGTAGAGAATGCAATTGGATTTCCTTAAAGTAGAAGTTCATTGATTTTAAATATTGATTTGATGTCGACATTCTAGAACCTGGTATCCTGGCAATTATAATTGAAATATGTATAATTTATTAGCCTCTTGTGCCATGGGGTGTATTGGGTGAGATTGTTCCTATATTGTATAAAGTAGGCATCAACTTTCCATTTTAGCATTAGTTTTTATGAGTTACATTGATTTACACGTAGGTGAAGAATTGTATTACATGAATTTGATTTGTCAATGCGCTCGGTAATCAATGGGCATAACCATATAATAACCAAAACATCAAACATTCTTTCTGAATGAAAATCTCCTTATTCTTTCTCCCCATAGGTGCCCCTGGCACCGGCAAGAAAGCCGTAGCCAAGGCCCTGGCCGAGAAGATGAACTTCAAGCACCTCTCTGTAGGCAGTGTCCTCACCGACTCCTCCAACCTTGATCAGGGAATGAGTGAGGCCATTGCTGCGGCTCTGGCTCAAGGATCACTGGTTGCTACAGGCATCCTTCTCAGTATCCTTGGGAGGGTGGTGGAGGCTAACAGCGATGCTACAGGGTTTGTCCTAGACAGCTTCCCCAAGTCAATGGAGCAGATTGTTGCCTTTGATGAATCGGTATGTAGAATTTGCTTTTGATATCAATGGTTTGTGTTGTGGATGAATTGGAAGCGAGGAAACTCTTAAAATCTTGACCTTCACTATGGCGACCACTCGCAAAACGATGCACATGGTTCAAGAACCCTGTAAATTGTTTATAATTTGAGGTCATTTCATATAGGGGTACGTTATTTAGGTGCCCTATTGAATAGAAAATGTAAGTCCTCAGTTATGCTGTTAACTTCCACATTGTCCTCAGGACGTTATATTTCTACCAAAATGTGTCCTTAAATATGTAATAACATACTATGAATGTGTATTATGAGTCCTCAATTTACACCAGCTGTTTATTTTCTTACCATGAAGACAGGTCCTGTGTGGCATGTGTTCCTTTTGCGAAAGTTGGAATTCTGAAGCTCTACTTTCTTTCATGATTGTTATAATGCTGATATCAGTCAAGCAATGACATAAACTATTTCCCCCTTTACTTCAATGACTAATTCTATGATTCTTTCTTAGTAGATTAAGTAATATTTTCAGTACCATCTTTGTAAAGCACATTCAGAAGTGCCTGTATGGATTATAAAATCATAATTGATCATTGTTGGTACTCTGGTCTCGCTTTCACAGAAAATTGGCAGGGTGACTGGCTTCATTCACCTGGATGGCACCCGAGAGGAGGCCGAGGAGAGCTTGAAGGGGAAGAAGGAGGCAGGAGAACGGGGAGAGGAGACAGAGGAGGTCGCCAAGAACAAGATGGATGCCTTTGAGAAGGAGGCTCCTGCAGTGGTGGAGCATTACGAGAAGAACAACATCCTCAAGAAGGTAAGCCTATCTTTAATCCTTGATGGCGCATTAATTAAGAAAAGTTATTAGTTTATCATAATTAAGACATCAAATTAATGTCATCCCCTTGAACTGTAATGGTTTAGACGACAAATTATTTCATATCTGGGCCCATATTGACATTAACTTGGAATTAACATTTTGTCCACAATTGTTTACCTAATAAGTGTGGAGGCTTGTCTACTTGCCAGTCATTTTATACTTGTGTATACTAAGTGCTGTTTTATCTGGAGTTATCTCTTTACAGAAATACTATTGAAGCTGATTCTTTGAATTTAGTATACTGGCATGGAACTCCAAACAAACAGAGTGCAAGATATCTTTTGATGATTGTCCTATTTCACACTTGTTTACACATAGGCAGCAAACGCTACAGAAAAACTACCACAGCAAAACGTCATGAGATAAGAAAAAAAACCCTGAAAGCCTGATATGTCATTTTATCAAGTGTCGTTTTGTCTGATACAGTCAAACCTTCTTTAGTGACCACCTGTCTACAAAGACCACATTTTTTGTTGCCCTTGAAAGTGGTGTTTCATCGAAACATGTAATAAAGGAACCTGTACATAAAGACCACCTGCCAATAAAGACCACTTTTCTTGTCTCCCTTGGGTGGTCTTTATAGACAGGTTTCACTGTATTGGCAAATTAGCAGTGTTCATATTATATTGTCAAATTAATGGAAGTCTTCTTGTCTCTTTGCTTCTCTTTCCAGTTTTCATTCAAGGAGGTTGCTAACGATCTTTCAACCGTCCTCGATGCTGTGTCAGCCTTAAGTGGGGAATAAGCCTTGTCCCTGGCCCCTAATACCACTTTATATTTTCATCAAATTGGCAACTTTTATATATTTTTTTATTTCTATAATGTTGTATATAATATTTAAATGAAAATTGTGTTTCTTAAAGAAAATAAATGGACATCATCTTTTAAAAATTAAAACTATTTGTATGGAAACTTGTAGATTTTGTAGCTTTCAATGTTGACTCTTAAAATGAAAAGATTTTAATCTTTATGTATTTCTTTTGAAATTCCTGGCATCAAACAACATCAGGTAGTTCAACAAATCTATCTGCTACATTTTAACGGCTCTCAATAAAAATTCAATTTTTCAGGCACAAAAAATGTGGACTGTGTTCCTTGATGGGTTTAACTCTTTTAACTTTATTCTTCTTTCTTTATAATCTATACCACATTCCTGCTGCAGAACAGATACAAGTACATTTTGTTGGTGTTTTTGCCAAAGTGTTCCAATTCGCTCTGCTCTTCACAATTTTGGAAAGAGTTTTCTTGTAGTATGTCAAAACATGAAGAATCCTCTGCTCTGTGTTGATTAATGCTGCAAGCTTTTTAGAGGGAGTTTTCAAATGAACGAACAAGGAATTGGGTGTGTTTTTGTAATCGAAGAGTAAGCAAGGGTTATTAATTGGAGTTTGGATGGATTTAATCGTTATACATGTAAATGATTGGGAAAAGAGTACATGATTTTAATCATTGCAGAATTTTTTTTTTTTCTTGAACTTTTTTTTGTTTAAAAAAAAAAAAATGTTTTGTAGCCAGCACCCTTGAGGACAGCAGTTAGTTAACTGAAGAGGAGACCCTATTGAAATAAAATGGAAAACAAATCAATATGTAAATATCGTGTTGTAGATTTTTGATGTACATGTATATGAGGTACTCTAATTATTTTTATTGTTTAACTGTGAACAAGGAGATTTATGAAGATGTACAGATCTGAATTGCTTTATACATGTACCAAAGTATCAGATTTTGGATAACAAATTAATTGATTCATAGAATTTTACTAATTTAGAATAAAAATGAGCATGCATGTGTATATATTCAATGCTATCATTGTGTAAGGTATATTACTTTATGAATCAAGTGTAAAATATATGGAAGTATATTAGTATAAAGATGTTAAAGTATATGAAATATTGCCCTTTTGGCTCCAAACAGACAACATGCATATATCACTTCAATATTGAGTTACTGTCCTGATGGCTCATAACACACTCTAAAACAATGTACAATGTGTTGTCATGGAAACTCCTGATAGTAATAACATTGCCAAGTTATATACCGGTATCGTTCGTAAAGAGATGAGTTTTATGACATTATATTTTTCTAAAATGTATTTTGCACGTGAGAGAACCTTCTCTAAACTACCACATCAAATTTATTGTAAAAACAATATGAAATATGTTGTAAAAACTATTGTAATTGTTGTGATGTGTGTTGATGTGACTAATAAGGTCCCTTTTTTTCTCATTTGTGAATTTAAAGAAAATGTGTAGGTATCATAGCTCAATGTAAATTGTTGGTTAAAACCGTCCTTGCAATTAATTAAAATGTAGATCGATGTTTACATAGGAATTACCTGTACAACAGAATGTATCATATTTTGGGGGTAAAATATATACATTTTATTACAAGCTTACTGTGACAGGAAAAAACAAAATACAAATCTATATAGTACTGAATATTTGTGAATAGTCACCACAATTCTGATATTCATCTTTGATCTTGTAATGTTCCATCCAAATTCATCGCTGCCTAGAAATTATTTTGGAAAAAAGAATTGACAAATTTGTGTGTGAATTTTTCATCATGTTTGTGTGTGCATATTTGATATGCATATTTCTTGAAAGAGAATAGGATTTTCAACTAGTTCAAAAGTTTGGACCAATAATAGAATCCAGTGTCAAATGTATAAGAGAGGTAATAAAGGTATATTTTATTTTTCAGCAATAAAATTTGGGATGTGTAGGGTATCGTAATACTTTTTGTGATTTTTTGGATTTCATCAAAATTGCATTTTGATGTCTTTTTTAAAAGGTGTGTTTCTTTGTGTGTAGTGTGTAGATATACACTTGTACGAGCAATACATATACATAGTTCTCTAAACATCTGTGAAAACAGGTTGAAGAAAAAGTCCTTTTACAGAAAAAAAAAACTGTTGCTTGTTGACTTTGACTGAAAGTGCCACTATCAAGTGGCTAAATTATCAATGTGTACTGTTAATTCATACCAATGGTAAAAATTAATCTTGTTTACAAGTAAATTTAAATGTTTTTATAGAATACAGGATAGTTTTCTTTTTGCCCAAACTCTTCTTTGGAAGTTGTTTTAGTCAGCTGTAGATAATAGTTTTCCACATTTTAACCAGACCTAACTAGCATATAGTGTATTGAATATATTTCTTTTCTTACAATTAGGGAAGTGCTGTTGCTACATTGTTTGTTTTAAGGGATTCTAAGTTTAAGGATTCTAACCGTCACTGCCACCCAACACCCATGTTCCCTCCCCCATACAGGTATCTGTATATAATGTACAAATTCAATTCTCAGGAGATAAATACATGTCCTTAATGTTGTAGTATATTCTTTTTGAACATGCATGTATCAATTATTTGTCAGATGGTTATAGATCATCCATGTTCATTTTTCAATTTTAAGTTGAGCTTTAATTAAAAATATTTGGGAACCCTCAAAGAACACTATAAAGAAAAAAAGCTGCATAATTTGTTTCCTACAGTTTTAAAGTATACTAGATTTTGATACATATTCATTATAAACCAATATTACTTTGTACCTTAAAAGTTGATTAATCATTGTTTATTATTAGAAACAACTTTTGCATAGATCAAACATAATAATAACCTTTCTTTTTTGTAAATATTTTGTAAAATAATAATCGTGGAACAAATAGCTGATGAAATTATAATTGCACCATGTTTGTTTACTATCCAATGCAACTAGCTATACTGTCTTTTTCTCACAGAATTAACATTGTGTAACCTGTAATGATTTAGAATTCTTTCTTTCTGTTTTTGTATATTTATTCAACTGTCAATTCATGCAAAGTGTGGCACGTACTTGAAATATGAAATAAATTTATTAGCAACTGCAGAAATCTTGTGATGTGTCTTTATGTAGTACTTGCATGTCAGTGTTAATATAGTTTTATATTGGATTCATCCACTCCTAGCTTTGATCAGCTTGTAGTCAGGTCGCACTTGCACATGCACTTTCACTGCACCCACTTGATCAATTTCGTGTGTACAACTATATTTTTGAGAGTTTGCCGCTATTCTCTCGAGGCCGCCATCGATTTCAAGCTTACCGCTCATGATGGCGGTCTCCTGCATTTTCTGTAATTTATCTTTCTTTTTTTTTCTTTTTTTTCATTGAAATTACATTTGTGTTTGTATGCATCTTATTCAATGTACTTAAAAATGTATAATCATGTAAAATGAAGAAATATTTGTTACTTTATGTATATGATTATGTTTCATTTTGAAAATGCAGAAATAAAAATAAATAAACAAACAAATAAACAAAATAAACATTTTGTTTCCCTCTCTGCACGGTTGATTGTTTTCCACATGTGCATTTTTGCACAATGCAAAATAGGCACCATTTGAGGGGGGCCTGGGAGGCCCCCCTCGACATTTTCGGAGATTGCACTGCAACCGCTTGTAATTTTGAATTGTTGTTTCATGACTTTTTCCCCTCAAGTCTTATGCACATTTTGATACCATTTTCGTCGAAATCTGATATACCTGTAAGGTGTTACATAACAATTAGTGCGCATGTCATCAAAAAGTGATATAATTGCATATATTCATGTACAAGCAGAAATGTGAATACGGTTTAGATGTATTTCTTCCTAAGTGGGGGATATGGATTGATATAAAATTGCTTTTATATGTTTCTCAAAGTAACTTGATGTATTCCAGAACAAAAGAATATATTAGAAATAAAACAATAGATAAAATAAGAAATAAAAAAAACAATAAAATACATAAGATAAAATGATGAATTTTGAATGCGTATTCATAATTTATGCAAATTAACCTATGCGTTTTCAAATATACAAATATACAAATAATGAAACCTCATGAATTTGAGATGAAGGAAACATTTACTCAATAAACTTTCCAAGAATCTTCACAAGTCTACAGACAAATATGTAGAGTTTTCTGTAAAATGCATAAAATTATCTTTTGCATAATTAATTAGGCTATAACGACAACAATTTGCATGTTAGGAAAAAAACCAATTTTACCATCTTGTTTCTTACGGAAATACCTACAAACATGCAAATTTTTGTGTTCATCGGACATCTGACGGCCAAGATCATGGGGGGGGGGGGGGAGGGGGCCGGGAGCCCCCTCCCCCCCCCCCCCCCAGTCAGTGAGGTGCTCAAAATAGCCCAGTACAGCAAGGGTTAAAAGTAATGATATCCATTGGGCATATTACCTTTTACAAAGAAAATGAATCTAGATAAGTCACCACATATGGCAAATTGGAATTACTGGAACAATAAAACTCAATTATAGATTACATGGGGAGCTATATTCATGGGGACTGATTTGACTAATTAAGTTCCAATTGTGAAAGGAAAAACAAATATAACATTTGTAGTTTATACACCTATGTAATTGTTTGTTAATCCAGGAATATGAATGATGAATCTAGGAAAAGTTTTGACAGTTATCAAATCTGAATTTAATTGAGTAATATTCTTATTTGTGTTTTCTTTTCACAGCTATTCAATTTTTAAGGAGGTGATCCCATTTAATTGGACCCATGAGGATTTGACTTATAGCTTAAGCAAACGACCAATTCCTCCAAAACAAAAAAGCAAAACATTTCCCCCAATTAAACAAACATACTTTAATTTTAGATTTTTATATAGTAGTTTTGACCTCATTATGCAGTCGTCCAGGGAATCAATAAAAAGACATTTAGCATTCGGACCTCGATTGAATGCCAACTTATTCTTTGCACCCAGACCCTTTGAGATTCTATTTGACTTTCAATTGTAATTTTTCATGATTTTTGAGTTGAAAAGAGTATAGGAATCACCGGGTCATTTTCCAAACAAAACATGTCTTTTAAAACACATTGAATTATTCACGTGATTGCAATTTATTCAGCATATATTTAATTATGACAGCTACTTGACAGATATATTTCATAAATTAAACTTCGAACATCAACAAATAAGTGCAAACGTATTGCCGAAGACTAATCCTAGGACGGCGTGTGCTGCTCGTGTTGTTTACCCTGCACAGTCTGTATGCATATTGCACTGTACTGTACTGTTGTATGCAACATCTCACAAAACATCGAATTCAAGATGAGTGCTCAATCAGATACCAGTGTTGCGGAACAGGCATCCAAGAGGACTAAACAACAGCCCTTGCATTCTGATACCACAACAGACAATACTACTGCTTCCAACTTCAGGCACATCAAAATCACACATTTTCACCTGGGAATCAAGGTCGATTTTTCGAAGAAAGAGCTGGCTGTGAAGGAAGTGATTGATGTGAAATGCTTGCAGAAATGTGACGCGGGTGAGCATCACAAAACATAATTAAAATGATTGCATCTGTTTGGAATTGCAGAATAATTTGATAAATGAAAGATGCTGTCGAAGTACAGAGTCATGAGAGTCTATAAATCTAAGTAAATAGGTACAATTTTAATTTGTTAATCTGTTAATGTTATAGCTACGAGTACGAGTACGACAAAAGATTTTATTAAAAATATATCTGAAAGATTGAATCTGAAAACTAAGTAGATCTAGAGTCTATCATGATTACGATCCGTGAATTAATATATGAAGATTTGTAGAAAGATTACTTCTTCTTCTGTACATGTCGACAGACTTGTTAGTCCATATAAAGACACGGAAACGAAGCACGTGGTCATGGAATAGAGCAATCTTTTAGGAATTGTAGCGCATGGGACCTAAAGGAATCAATTGATCCTGTGTTGATAACGCTATCAGGTAACTTATTCCAGTCCTTGCACGTACGGGAAATAGGAGAACTTGAAGAAGTCTGTCCTGCAGTACTTCTGTTTCAAATGTTGGCTATTGCTGGTTGAGGAACGACGGGATCTAGTAACAGCAAGAGGTGTTAGGATCTTCGGAATGGCAGATTGCCATGTCCGCTCTGGATCTGTTTCATGAGGGCAAGTCTTGCAACTTCTCGCCGATGTTCCAGTGAGTCCCAATTCAGATCCCTTAACATGTCTGTGACACTAGCACGTTGGTTGTAGTTGTTGCAGAAAAATCTGCAGCACGACGTTGTACCATTTCCAGCTGCTTGATGTACTTGGCTTCATAGGGGTCGTAGACACTAGCTGCATATTCTAAATGAGGTCTTACTAACGCAAGATAAGCAGTGCTCTTGATGGTTCTCGAACAACCTCTAAGATTACGCCTTAACATTCTGAGAACCCTGTTAGCCTTCTTGGTAATGTGAGCATACTGGAAATCCCACTTGTATTTGTGGGTTAGAAAGACTCCAAGGTATTAGTGATGTACAACTGGATCCAGGATTTGGGCATGAAGAGTATATTGGAATCTCAACTTCTTCCTCTTGTTGGTTATATTCATGACAAAACATTTCTTAGCATTAAATTTCATCTGCCACTCGTCGACCCATTTTTTTTTTTACCAATCTGTATGCATGCACACTTAAAGGTAATACAAAGTTTTGGTATGGGGTCATGAATTTGGTTCAAATGAACATATTGGAAGCATAATACGATCCTACAATATTCAGTGATCGTTGTCGCGATCGAAATCGACTCTAAAGTTATGAAATTGTAAGTAATAAACACTTTATGTTGAATAGCTCCCCCTCAAGGTCAAGATATTAATTAAGCTATAAAACAATGTTTATTGACTAAAATTGACTGATTAGCTATTCTCGTTCGGAAATTATATTCCACAACTACATACTCTGAGATTTTCATGGTCGCAGCTACCATTGAACGGCCGTAGGAGCTATTTGAAATTTATCAAAATTTACCGGGAGCACCGGTAAATCTTTATATTCAATTTTTCTCGAAAGCAGAAGTGTTTTAGGGGCTAAAATTTCTGGCGTTTTTAATACATCCACAGGGGCATCCAAATATATTAAAATTGTAAGGAATCACTATCCACCCATTTTTCAAAATTTCCAAAACTTTGTAATACCTTTAAGACCAGGGTTTACTACTCATTGCGAGATGTACATGTACCATATTAACATGCATAGATCTATAACCATAAAGTGTGACTCTCCTACAGGGTAACTCCAGGAAACTCCGACGCCGATGCCGAAGGCGTTGGAGCTTCAGTTGGTGCATCAAAAAACATTCAAACAGCGGGTCGGGCGACATTATCTCAAAATTTAGGGAGTAATTACATGTACAATTACAATTACTAGGTCGAGCAACCTAGTAAGTCAAAATTGGAGTTACTACAGGGGGCCTCCAGTTAACGTTCTAAGTTCTAGGCCGAGGAAGAGAGTGTTTTCCCCTGAACCCGAGAATGCATCTAGAATAGAGGGGAGGGCGCACAGCACTTACCCACAATGCAGCGACAACCATGTTTGCATTTTTGTCTGTTCAGCGCGACACTCTTACCCACACATATACATGTATGTACATGATTGAAGGCCAGACGATGATCCTGTTGCACCACACCACCTCCTTGGAGTAAAACGAGTGTGACTTGATGTGCGCGTTAAATAATAACATAATAACGGTTGAAAATGCTGTTGCACATATAACTCATATAAGCCTTGAATATGTCAGGATTTTGAATGTTAAAGGGACTTTGTAACATTGTTCAGATGAGAGATAGTGGTGCTAAGGTAGTGACTTCAATGCTAGATGTACACTTAAAGATAATCTGAAAATTTGAGCAAAAACGGACCATTATTCATGGTACAAATTGGGAAAAACTGATCCGATCGATTCCTTAATTCTCTCAACTATATTATTACAATTTAATTACATTTTAGGTGAATGGAAATCTCACAAAGCAATAAAATGGCTCTACATTCCATTCCAGACATTTAAGTGTAGACAGATTTTTTTATAGCCTGTTTTTATGTTTTTATTCATGGAAAAACGGTTGGGAAAATTCAAAAATGGTTTGGAGAATTTAGATTCAGAAGTGCCGCACATCGACGCCCGTTCAAAAACCTGTTGAACTTTGTTAAAATCTTCATATTGCGTGAATTAATTTCGGATTTGGGGCATCGTAGTTGAATAATCCATACATAAATGTCCAAACATAATTTTACGTGTTTTGCATCCTGATTCAACAGATTTGTGATATCAACCATCACAATGTTACTAAATACCTTTAACTATACTATAGATGGTGGTAAAGAGTTTCAGTCTGTAAGTGCGTTCAGATTATTCAGAATTAATGAATTTCATTTTCATTTTTCATTTTATCACCAAGCCCTTAAACTTTAAAGGATGCAAGTTCACTCCAAAAATGATTTGCTTTTAATAGATGCAAAAAAGATAAACAGAGCAAAATTGGATAACTATATATGTAATTAGGAAGTTATACCAAAAAAAAGTATGAAATACTATGGAATTTGGAAGATGACTACCGTACACAGATTGTCAATTTGGTTATCAGTTTGTGACATCATTGCTTTCAATATATTTTATCCCATTAATTTCCATTTTTATCCCCCAAAACTTGATTTTCCCCATGCCTTTGCCCTGGTCATACGATTTGTATCATATTGCTTGCTTGACATTCACAAATTCTTTTATGAAATTTGAAGAATTGATATTATTTTCTGAATATTTTTTATTCATAATTATTGATTTTTATATAAATAGTTTATCAAAATTTAAAAATTTCATGATTTGATTGAAAAAAATTACTCTATATTAGTGCATCAACACAAAAACATATTACTATCAATATAACTTGGATGCTGGTATAAGGAAATGAGATTTATAGGGGGAAATTGGAGATTTATATTATCAATATTAAGAAAACAATTAGTGGATACTCGATAGTGAGGAAATGACGGCGCAGACTTGTGTGTGAGTTGCCACTTTTTCTTGTAATTTGTAAAGTTTTTCATGTCATTAAAAATGCATAACTTTCTTAATAGATATCCGATTTTGCTCAAACTTTTTTTTGATTGGTTTGTCTGAGTTTTCTGCTTCTATTAAAAGTTATGTTTGGATTGGACTTATCCTTTAAGGCTACCGGTATCTATTTACCTCTCCCTTTACCCAAGATTATGGAAGAATGCTGTGTTCTCAGCAGTGCAGTCGGGCTCCCAGACCCAGTTCTTTATTTCTCCTACTCACAGTTCGGGGTCTTGGCAAGTTATCTAGCTCTGTCGTTGAGTTCTGTTTAGGTCTTCTACTTATATGAGGAGCAGAACTGCTTCGTGACTGTAATCATAATATTACAGTCAAAAAGCTCCTTTTCATTAGATACAGAGCGCATAGACTGTGTGTGAATGCTACCCCCCCCCCCCCCCGAAAGAAAAAATGGTGTCTAGTCTCAAGTGTTTTTAATTTGTCTTTTGACAGATTTGTATCAATCAGATGAAATTATTTACATTAGGGAAAAGTTGGAAACCAACCATTTTATCTCGCCATTCGAAGGTTGTAACTTGGATTTCAAATTGAGGTCTGTGAAGTCAGGCGCACACTTCATGTACGCAATCTGACTAGGATCCAATTTCAATAGTATTTGCAATGACATTTTATGTGAACAATAACACTTGTAAATTCTTAATGATCTAAGATCTGAATAGTCACATGATAAATAAAATCTAAATTTCAAGGGATTTCAAGCTTCCTTGGACGCAGAAAAGCTAAATCTGCTCAAAATTGAAGTGATTTCAGACCAGAAGTGCAATTGTCTACAATTTGAAGCCAATTTTACCTTTATTCTGACAAGAAAGCTTAAATGCACTAAAGTTCCAGTTGTTAATATTCTTATCATTATTCAGAAACTAAATCAGGAAGGAGATGAACGTTAAAATTTCCATCTATCTAATATAATTACCATTTCTTCCAACAACAAAAATTGATCTCAGGAGGATCGTATAGTTGTGAGCGCTTGGCATGAAAATCAGTGTGTAGGCAAAGATGAAAAGCTTACAGAGTGATAATTATGTGTGTGTGAACTCTATATATTTTGAAATGTCGGAGACAAGAAATCAGCAGGAGTTTCAAAAATTAATTACAACCATGCTGATTGGCAAGGCTATTATTTAAAGGGTGATGGGTCACAGACAAAAACGACATGTGTTTATGATAGTCTCACTTGATTGAAGGTTTTAATTAAAAGGTCAAAGCAATTTACAGGAAACTTGAAACAGGATAACACTTGAAATGTCACTTTCATTAACATCTGTTAGTGATATGAAACAAAGTGTGTAGATCTGACATTTGATTTTGATGAGAGAACAATCTTTAATCAAAGGTATTGACAGAATATAAATTACTTTTTTTATATATTTTTTTTACGTCATCAGACTTTGATTTGTTTTGTTTGTACCCGGTAGTGCCCTTCTTATTTCCCTTCCTCTCTTTCTTTCTTTCTTTCTTTCTTTCTTTCTTTCTATCTCTCTTTTACTTTTTCTGTCTTTCTCTTATAATGTCTTTCTTTCAGTGTTACAGTGTATCTTACATTATAAAAATAAAAACTTTCAATCTAAAATTATCAACCTTTTTATGTAAATGTAATAGCTTTGTGTGTGTTTCCCTTTCTGTACTCATTTATTCATATGTTTATCTACCTTTCTTTCAACCTCTATCCATTCATGTCAATTTGTCCTATCAACCATTCTGTTCGTTTCTTACATTTAAGTGGGAAGGGTTAGAGTTTGGAGAATCAATTTTGTTGCTGTTACCATATCATATGCATTTTATTCGATAAATGTCACTCAATTAATTCAACCATACTTTTAAATCTCTTTTCTGTCTGTCTCACCATACACTTTTCCCTGTAATGTTAAAGAGATTTAAGATGTATTGATGATGCTGTCATTCAAAATTCTTTTTGTGGCTGCAAAACGCAAATATTGATGAATCAAGTGCTCCTTGAAAATACTTGCTAAAGAGTTTAATATCAGGTATTGATCAGTCTTCTCATGACTTCACCTCGACCGGCTATAAAACCTGAGACTCCACCGAAAGCAGAGTCACTCGTTGAATCTTCATCGTATCGTTAGCACTGGTAAGTGTGATTTAGATTGATACCTTTTCTTTTTGCAACTTGATACCATACACCTACCAATACCATTATTGTACCACTGAAAGTCTTTTATAATCTTCATCATTTTAGTAAATTTTATGGTTCATCGATAGTTAGATTTCACTAGTAGTGCAGCTTTTGTTTTGAACCAGTTGGATTGTAAGAATAAACAAAAAAATCTTAACAAGCTTTAGGTGTCGTGGTCGAGTCCCGCTGCGGCACTAATGTCTTTTGGCAAGACATTGATCTACATTTGCCACACTCAACCCAGGTGATGTACATTGTAAATGGGTACATGGCAGGAAATAATTCCTTGAAATGCTTGAGCTCCATAATGGCAGCCTTGCTAAAGCCGGGGTACTGGTAATAATCGGGAGCGCCAGGAGTGTCACCTGTGACAGACATGACATGACGCTATACAAGAACCCACTATTATTCCAAGTTGTGATTTAACGTCTGTTGTTTTATTAAAAATATTGATATTAACTTTTGCCATAAGCAGCTTTATATCAGGTGCCTTTGAGCACAGTTTTACATTGCTATAAGATGTCTGACCTGATGTGCCTGCCCCATTGGTTGAGATACATACACTGTATATCATCATCCAGTGATTTTCTCCACTGTCTGAAATTTTGTTTGAGGAGGGGGGTGGGGGGGGGGGGGAAGGGGTGCAGAACAAGAAAAACAAGCAGTATGCCCCACCCCCTGTATTGAGGTGATGACCATTATTTATTGTTGCTTGCTTGGAATTTGTCAATTGAATTTCAGGAATATTGTGCCCTCTCTTTTTACAAAATCCTGGATCTGCACCCATGTTTCTATTCATTTTAATTTTTAACATTTTTTTTCTAATGTAGAAAACCAATATGCTGCTCATTGGAGTCATCACCATAGCAACTGTTCTGTTGTTCAGCTGTGACACTGCCCTCTCCAAGACGGAACAGGTCAACAAGGATGCGGCCAATGCACTCTACACTTTAACCGAGCGTTGCACCCTCTGTAAGTTAAACATTTACAGTTGTACCTCTTGATTTTAGTTGTAATTTGATAGGAATTTGAATGTATAAGACTTGTATGAGAGGGGCACATATTAGGCAGAGTTTTTATGATTTGTTAAATCGTATATTTAAGGAGAGATAGCAGCATGGCTATGGATGTAAACTTGATAAACTCCCTGTTGCACACGTACACAGATGTACCTAATTAATACTATTCAATAATACTTTAATTTTGGAAACAGAACTTGAAGGAATTAGTATTAAAAGTCAGGTTTTCTCAGCAGCGCTCAAGATTTTGTCATTTTGGACAAAGGGTTTTAGACCGCCTTCTATAATATGATTCAGAAGTGTCCCAAATTGTCTATCTTATGGGTAAAAGATCTTGTTTAATTGATAGATTTAATTGTTAGGAAGAGCTGACTGAAATTACATATCATTAATGTTTATGTAGTGTAATTAAGAGTAGAAGCAAGTATGTGTAATAATTTGAAAACATAGAAATTGTATCATTGTTTTGAATATTGACTGAAAAACAAAAAAGCTTTGTGACATGATATCTTCGCCGGTTCTAAAGGAGGGTTTTATCTCGTGGCAAGAAACTTTTGCCAATTACAAAACTTGAGTGTTGCATCAATTATGATAATTATTTTGCAGCATGAAACTTTTAAGAATCTGACCCTTTCAGGGATTTTGCTAACAGTTCCTGAGAAAGTTTCTGGTTTTAAAATAATTGTGCTCAAATAGTTTAATATTTGTTTTTGTTGAATAATCTTGTTGCAGATAACTGCCCGAATAACTGGCCACCCCGATCTGCCGGGGTTACATCATGCTACATATACTTTCACCAGTCGAAAGAATGGAGCGACGCTGAAAAGAGCTGCCGCGACAATGGCGGGCAACTTGTCAAGTTTGACACCCTGGGTGAGATTACCACCGTTAAGAACTTCCTCCAGTCCTACTACGGCATCAGTTCCATGCCTTGGATGTGGACTGGCCTTAACGACCGCAGCAGTGAGGGGCGCTACCAATGGACTGGCTTCGGGGGAGAGTTGAGCAAAGGGAGCTCCATGTGGAGTGGTGGGCAGCCGGATAACCACTCGCCATGGTGGTCATTTTGGGATGACGAAGACTGCGTGGAGTTCAACGGAAGACAGCTTAATGACCAGGATTGCGATGAAGGCCGTCCATACGTCTGCGAGTTCATACCTTAGACTATTCAACCATGTTAGCCCGTCGTAGTGCACCCACCTAAAGGAGGGTGGCAGCCCAAATAATACAAAAATATAACTTGACCCGAATTAGTTATTCATATTATTAATTATTATTAGCCCTCGTATTTCCAAAAAAATATATAGTAATCTGATGTAAACTCTAGTTTAGAGCTAGGAATATTAATTTTGATTCAAATTTAGTCAGCGATGACATTTATTATGATATCTGTTTTAACAAAAAGATAGAAGTGTATGTACACTATTTGACAATGACATTACAGAATATGAATTTAATTGGATTGTGACCATTTGGCAAGTACTGGTTTATGTATGTATTCTGCCTGCTAAGAATAATCTGTTGGTCGTTACGGAACACCCCAATGTATGATCATATCAACAACCTAACATACAAATTGTACATGGATGTACACCCTGTAGAGGCAGAATATACTGTAAATGCGTTCTGGCAAATCTTTAGCATGGTTTCATCTTTCAAACATACGCAGTAATTTGGAGAAGAAAAAAAATCTGTTAATGAAAATGGTCATACATGTAACCCTACACAGTGTATTAAATGGTCGAATTCAGAAAAAAAAGCCAGGATAATGATTCAGAACCCTACTGAACACGTACATGAATGAGCTTCTCAGTTTTCATTGTGATTGCAATCACATAAAAAGACAAACACCGAGTTAAATTTAACGTAGACATGTAATAAATGCACCCTAAGTTGAAATGAAACCATTTTGATTGTGCCAAGATTGCATTTATTCAACAGTTATAAAAGAAGTGTATGAGAGATTCATGTGTATCTGTTGTATTTCTACATGTACGTTGTATGAGTCTAAAAAAAGGAGAACTTTCAGTTCCCAGATATACTTACATATACAGCAGTGCTGTTATAAATTTTTTAAATCAGATCTTTTTTTGAGGTTTATGTTCTGATGATGATGATGATGAGATGGTGTTGATGATGAATATGATGATGATGATAATTCATTGAATCAATGCATACGGTACATGCATTATGTATGGTATATGGATTATGAGAGTGATAGTGGTTGTGATGATGGTGATGATTATGATGAGGAATGGATGACGAGAGGAATGATGAAGAGAGTTATAATGTTGAAGATGATGGTGGTGATGGCGAGGATGATGATGATGGTGGTGGTGATGGTGATGATGATATGATGATGATTATGATGATATGATGGTGGTGATGGCGAGGATGATGATGATGGTGATGATGATGATGATGATGATGGTGATGATGATGATGATGATGATGATGATGATGATATGATGATGATTATGATGATGATGGTGATGATGATGATATGATGATGATGATGATGATATGATGGTGGTGATGGCGAGGATGATGATGATGGTGATGATGATGATGATGGTGATGATGATGATGATGATGATGATGATGATGGTGATGATGATGATGATGATGATGATGATGATGATGATATGATGATGATTATGATGATGATGGTGATGATAATGAAGACGGTGATGATGATAATGGTGTTTCTCATGTAGACCTGTTTTTCAGGATTGATTCCCTAATGACTAAAAGTTGTTATATATTGTTACCCTTGTTTACGAAACACGTTGCTAGTATTTTCAGGAAAATTATAATTGAGGGTTGGGATTTAATATGGGGTAAGAAGGAGGTAGAGAGACAGAGAGGGGGAGTTGGCATACATGTAGAGATAGGCAGATAGGGAGAGAGAAGGAAGAGATAGAGAGAGATAGGTTGAGAGAGGGAGAGAGAGAGATAGAGATAAAGAGGGAGAAAGCGGTGCTGAGATGAATATAATTTCATAGTACTAATATTTGATGGAATTTAGATGTTTTCAACCAAATGGATAGCTATCTTTATTATTTAAACACCTTTCCTCTCTTCCTATATATCTTTCAGTCATTCTAGACAGCCACGAGAGTATCCAGATATCAAGCATCGTTGACAAGTCCCCGCCTGAAGCTGACCTTCAGTACGAGGTGAAGCCTTTCACCGGCTATGGATCTGCACTGCATATCAGCCGACCTTGCAGCGAGGTCGGGGAGGAGTTCAAGATCGAGATCACGTACACGGTGGGGAAAGCCCCCGGACTATGTTGGCTGGACCCTAGTCAGACTGCAGGTACAATCTTATACTGTTAATTTGATGATGATCAGATATTTGCTACTGGCTTTATATTTGTCAATTTTTGTATGAAATTTTGAATTTTCCCAAATTCTGTATTTGTTCAAATTATTTATCAAAAAATACTTTCAGCCTCTAGGCTACATGTTTTGTTGATTTAAGTAAATCAATTCAATTCAATTAACAGATGTAGGACTATAGGGTTAGTTTTTGGATCATGCTTAAGTTTAGGATTAGGGTTAGGTACAGCGTTGGGTCCAGGGTTGCAGTTACACATACAGTATTTAGGATACAGTAAGATTTTGACAAGTGTAATAAATACATCATGGAGCAATTTTTCTCAGAGCATGTGTCAAAATATGTTACCTGCCGCATCAAATCTGTAGCGAGTAACTAGACTAAATTTTCAACAATATATTTACCGGTAGATGTACTATAAGTCCTCAGGTTTATTTCTTTAAAAGAAATTCTCAAACACGCTACTCAAAATATGGGCTGACTCCATGACTAGTCTCTTTCCATATATTACTTTTGCAATGCATGTAGATGTACATGTACATATAAAATAGTATTGTTACCTACCAAATTGCAAAACTGTACAAATTTTAAATATTGGAACATCTCCAGGATAGAGTTAAATTCCTGGTTCTAAGCTTCAGTTTAAAAAAAAAAAATCTGATGATTTTCTTCCATCTTTAGGCAGTTTTTTGTCTTTCATGAGTTTTATTTGGGGCTTCTTGTTTGATCATGTTTTGGTTGTATCTTGTTATATATGCTGTTCATATTATATTACAGAGCCTTTTTGTAAAATCCTGGTAAAAGAAGACTAACTGAATATATAAATATATAAATCATATGCATTTTTATCTTGTCTGCAGGGAAGTCCAAGCCATATCTGTACACACAAGGACAGGCCGTTTTGAACAGATCTTTCTTCCCCTGTCTTGACACCCCAGCTGTCAAGTCGACATACTCCGCTACTGTTCATGTAAGAATTGAAACACTTCAATACAATAAATTACATTTCAATACAATAAATTATATTACAATACAATGAAAGCAATAACATAAAAAAATCCAATGTAAGCAAATATTTTTTTCTTGAGGTAAGGGGGGGGGGGGGATACATTTCAACTTACAAGACTTGTATTAATTAAGTGGGCATTTTTCATGTATCATACCCATTTACATTAAGGTCAAGAGTGGCAAAGTAGATTAATGTCTTGCTTCAGGATTTTAGTGCTAGGATGAGATTTGAACCCTAGGCCTTGCAATTGAAAGGCAAGTGAATAAATCACAATACCATTACAACTCTAAGGCTTCGTTCAGATAAAATGAAAAACCATGGTGGTTTATCATGACATAAAGTGTAATACGCCTTGCATTTCTTTATCATATAACACACAGCTCAGAGAATACGCTCGGGAACCCTTGTTGCGCGTATAGATGCCATTAATTTACAAATAATGAGCTGCATTGGGAGTTTTTTGGGCAGCGGTATACCACGTCATATCTGAACGAACCTTTAGTGACAATTATTTTTCTCTTTGACCCTTGACCTAAACTCTATTTGACCTTTAACCTCAGGTTCCATCTGGATTTGCTGCTGTGATGAGTGCAGACCAATGGGGGAAGGATGTCAGTCCGGATATCTTCACCTTCCGTATGAACCAACGAATCCCTAGCTACCTGGTGGCCTTAGCAGTCGGTGATATCGCCTCGGCCCAGATCGGCCCCAGGAGCAACGTGTGGACAGAGCCATGTCTTCTGGTAAGATTTTAAAGACGATTTCTTTCGGGGAGGGGGGGGGGGGGGGTTGGAGGGTAGGATAATATTTTACTTGTAAAGGTGAAGGTGATTACTGGACAATGGTCATGCAATAGATTGGTTTACTATACATTCAAATTAAGAATGTTTCTCTCTGGGGACCTAGTGATGAGGTATTTTATTAACCTGTAATTAATGAATGAACTGCAATACTTGGAAACCAGTCTGCATATATTATTCATTGCTATGTTGGGCAAGCCTCTTTCAAGCTTGAGGTAGTCAAGAACAACCTTTGTTTAAAAAGTATGCATACAATTTTAAAAATGTTAGTAAATAGGTATAATGTATTGTGATCAAATATATTTATGAATATTCATTCAGAAAAGTTTCATTGTGATGTACAAGGTAAAAATTATGAAGATCTTAGAGTAATAATGAAGTGCAATTTTTTTTTTTTTTATCAGACAAGCTGACCAGAAACTTTTGATTATTGCTGGTGTATTGTAATACTAAATTACTGAAAAATCACTTCTTAATGCATGCCATCAACTTTTGGGAATTTGGGGAATTGGTAGATTACATGTACAGTGTTTTGGGCATGCTTGTAGAGCTATAGAGGCACCAAGGTAAACTCAGTTTTATCTTCTCTTACATTCTTTACTACGTGTGAAAGGAAATATTTACTGCTCATCCAACCAAAAGTGTGTCAGTGTACTTTATTGAGATTAGTTAGAAATGAGTACTATTGAATGAATCCACTAGTTATACTTCCTTGTACATCGACTCTGTTTAAAGGGATCCGGTAACTTTGTCTCAGATTCTGAAAAATCCCGGATTTAGCTCATGCTGCAATCATAATTATAAGCCTTTGGGTCAGTCAGGAACCCCAAGCTGATTGCCTGTCTGATTATCAAGATATTTATGATTGGAAATCGAAACCAAATTTTGCGTTTTCCTAACGGTTTTCATAACACTACAGTCTATTGGGGAAAACGAGTATGGTAGAACCAGTCACTCAAAGATTTTTACTTTTTTTAGGCACTTTTTGATCATTTTGAAGCACAATTTTTTTAGGGCTTCAATATTACACCATATCACAGACTCTGATAACACGTAGGACCATGCATCTCAGATTTAACATTGTTAAATGATGCATTTAACATTACAGGACAAGGCACAAGCAGAGTTCAGCGTGGTTGTGGAGGACTACATCTCAACCGCAGAGCGACTCTTTGGACCCTACGTGTGGGGGCGCTATGACATTCTGGTCATGCCTCCATCGTTTCCCTTTGGTGGGATGGAGAATCCGTGTCTGACCTTTGTGACCCCTTGCCTCCTGGTGGGCGATAAATCACTCACAGATGTGGTCATGCATGAAATCGTAAGTCTTTTAACCCATTAGCAACTAGAGATTTTGTAAAAATGGCCTATTACTCACTGGAAGAGGTTGCAATATTGCTCTCATCTTTACATTGTTCTGAACAATATGAAACATGTGCTATTTTACCATGCAGAATCCTAGCATGTTAAATTTGCAATCAATAAGTGATTCGCAAAATTCGCAAAAATAAAACCCCTGTGAAAATAACTACTTATAGACAGTGTATATCACGGTTTGAAACACCAGTGTTTTGTGTTAAGTAAAACCCCTGTAAATAGCTAGAAGTTATTTTTAACTCATTCATGAAAAGAAGTCAATTAGCTAAGAAGTGTACAGGACAGGAAAGGGTAAATATAGAGGTCTTGTGATAAGAGTCTTTGTGAGAGATTAAAAATAAGACTTAAAATGATAGGCTCCTGATTTACCCTCTTAACGCTATTTAGCCCGGGGGGGGGGGGGGGGGGGGAAGCCCCCCCCTCGACATTTTTCGCGATAATTTTTTAATGCAAGAAAATCTTGCACTGAAATTTTGTGACTTTTTTCTTTCGAGTCTTGCGCAACTTTTGAAAGAAATTTTTCGAAAATCGGACCTACCATTACAAAGGCACGTGTCCTTTTGACTTCGCATGTCAGCCCGAAAATCGCTCATTTTTGTGATTTGTGTACAAAACATAAGGAAATCTCATTTTTCAAATAAAGAGGTAAAACATTGGTTATTTGGTCTTGTTTAGATTTTAGGTGTTTATTTTGGGGTCAAAATAGTTGAATTATAGTTGGAAATGAAATAAAACAACAAGAACAATAAAATACATAAGTTAAAAAAACAAAGAAATACATAAGAAATTATCAAAACAATAGATAACATAAGGAATAACCCTGGTTTTTCAAATTTTTGTGTTGTATTATTATTCCAAATGGTCTAACAAATATATGTAGTGAGAAAGAATGCTTAAATATGAATAATGTCTGATTTATGGGCAAAAATGTGAATTTAATGACCTTATTTGCATAAATTACCATAAATATGCAAATGAGTGAATTTTTCAAAAAAATTGAAATTACCATAGTATTCTATACACTTCACTTGACATGTATGCAAATTTTTGCGGCGATCGGGCGTTTCACGGCCGAGATCATAGGGGGGGGGGGGCCTTAGAAGGGCTATGCAGTTTCAAAATAGCCCGGGCTAAATAGGGTTAATAAAGATTTTCATAAGGCTCCCTCCAAAAAGTATTAAGGAAAGGGCTCAAGGAATCATGTGTATATTGTAGTGACTCCATTCATGGAGTTGCTATGATTAAAGCAAATACCATTTTTATTTAGGACATCATGAGTTTGTGTTTGTCAGCTGATTGCTCCTTGTGATTGTTTCAGCTTCATTTGAAGAGGTGTTGTGGACGAGTGGATAAGTCGCCGGACTGTGGATCACAAGGTCCGTGGTTCAAGTCCCGCCGCAGCACTAATGTCCTTTGGCAAGACATTGATCTACATTTGCCACTCTCCACCCAGGTGTTAAATGGGTACCCGGTAGGATGCGAAAGCTAATGTGGTTAGATTAGCAAGTGTGCGCATGTAAAAATGACGCCTGGCTGGAATGCTCCCCAGGGAGTGGAGAATGTGCATACATTGTGTGCGGGTAAGCCTGAATCCAATGACCGGGGTAATAATATACTTATCTGTAAAGCGCTTTGTGAGGGCCTCCGGTCCTGAAAAGCGCTATATAAGAACGAGCTATTATTATTATTATTTATTATTATCGTAAGGATTACGCACATATAACATTACCGCAGTAGACCCCCATAGAAGGATACTACAGTGCGTTGAAAACGCACAGGCGGTTTTGGGCGGTTCAGTGATTAAAAGGAGGGCCGATTTCGGGCGGTTTAGCTGCTATAGTTTGTAAATAGGCTTGATTGATATGTAATTCATTAATTGTGCGCCAAGAGTGCCTATTTCAGGCAGATTTGTGCGCCATTAAGTACGGAATTATAGTAAACATTATTATTATGATTTTTGTTTTCCCAGCACCCCAATGAAGTAAGCTCACATTCACCAATCGGCTAAATGCTTATTATTTTATCATGTTTCCCAAGAAGTAGGGAGTAAAATTACAAACTTTGTTAAGACATTTTGTTCTCATTTCTCTTTGACAGGCCCACAGCTGGTTTGGTAACCTGGTAACCAACGCAACATGGGGTGATTTCTGGCTGAATGAGGGTTTCACCATGTTTGCCCAGCGTTGCATCAGTCAAGAATTACTAGGTGAAGCCTACACGTGCCTCGAAGCTGCTACAGGGAGGGCACTACTTAAGCAACGGATGACATTTGCAGGAGAGGTGAGTCTTTGAGCGTGTCCACACACAAAACAATTTATCTCGAAACTCTATAACGAAACGTCGTATAAAGAATCATCGTATAAATTTCAGTGTGTCCACACACAAGAAACGTGGTATAAATAATCATTGTATAAATTCCAGGATGTCCACACACAGAAAAAAGTAATCCTGAAACTCTACAGCGAAATGTCGTATAGGTGCGCAGTTTGCTACTGCGGTCATGAAATGGAAGCGGAAATGAAAGGTCAGGTCTCCTTTCGCTCGAGGTCACGTTAAGCCCTGCCCAGTTAGTTACACTAGTTACACTAGTTCCCTCCACACACAACACCTTCCGTGATTAGGCGTGATTAGGCGTGATTCTTTATTGAGTTTCAGTTTGAAACGATGCCCAAACCTGCGTTTCGTTAGACTAGTTTCGTTATACGACGTATTGTTAGTGAGCGTCCACACACACAATTTCATTGTAAAACTATGGCGAAACGGTATCACTATCACGAAACGGTTTAACTAATCACGCCTAATCACGGAAAATGTTGTGTGTGGACAGGGGGGAAGTCAGCTCTCATGGGGAATTCGACACCGTTCGGGTGTTTACCCAATAACAGGTGTTGTCAATCGCCAGGGTTAGCCTTCAGTTTTATGACCATAAGACCTTATGTAATGCTTTGCTTTTCCCTCACCCGAAGCTCTCCGAGCGATAAGGGGGTAATTCTTGACTGGCCAACGGGTTTGCTGTGTGCAGATTTGTACTCCCATTAATGGTATTTCCACCAAGTCTGATGTCAGCGAATTATGGCCTGCTGCACATGGAACCTGCCGATCCAGTCCCTGTAAGGCTTGTTCAGATAGGATCCAGTAGACTGCCCCCAAAGACCACCATTTCCTTTTAAAACATGTGAATGAATGGCAACTGCCCAACGAAGGTCCAGCGAGCTATTTGTTATAAGATACAGAAATGTAAAGCATATTACGCTTTGCGTTCTCATTTTTTAAGAAAGCAGCAGATTTTCCACCTCGTATCTGAATGAGGCTTTAGATTTTGATTTTTAATAAATGATATGGTCTTTCATTCAACCCTGTGCCATCAGGAACCATGTAGTCCCTGCATTAACGAATCAGAGATTTCAGTAGTCATCAGATATACATGTATATACATTAATTTTCTTTGCAGTATCACAGAGTATTCATTGATTTGTTTCTTTATTGAATACAGTGATATTGCTTTGGACCAATCATAGTAAGATATCTGCTTCCACCCCAGCAGTAATTTTCAGGGAAGCCTTTTTGATAATTTTTAAATAATAATAATAATAATAATAATAATAATAATCTTTTAAAGTCCACTCCAAATTTTATTAAGTTAAACCGAAAATGGAAATTCTTTTTGCCCAATTGATCGTGAGCCCGGCAGCCACTGAGCAGCGCCAGATCGACGTTGCTCTATCTCTTATTGTTGAACGCCAAACAAGGTACATGTAGCAGCAACTCCCGTCTTTTAACATCCTTTGGTATGACGCGGCCGGGGTTCGAACCCACAACCTCCCGGTTGTGAGGCGGACGCTCTACTGACTGAGCCAACACACCGGTATAAGCCTTTGAATTTGTACCCTGCTAGGGCATCATTCACTACCCATCTATAATTGGAAAAGGAAGGATATAACAATGATGATTATAATACAGTGAAACCTGTCTATAAAGACCACCCAAGGGAGACAAGAAAAGTGGTCTTTATAGGCAGGTGGTCCTTATATACAGGTTCCTTTGTACATGTTTCAATGAGAAACCATTTTCAAAGGAAACAAAAAGTGTGGTCTTTAAAGACAGGTGGTCTTTAACGACAGGTGGCCTTTCTATAGAGGTGGTCACTAAAGCAGGTTTGACTGTAGTAATAATAATAGTAAATAAATAATAATAGTAGGTAGTACTAGTAGTGCTCATATTTCTCAGACTTGATACCTCTGGCGCTCCACAATTATTACCTCGCCTTTAGCATTGCTGCCAATATGGCATTCTAGCATTTCAAGGAATTGATTCCTGCTAGGTGCCCATTTACCTCACCTGGGTCGAGTGTGGCAAATGAAGATTAATGCCTTGCTCAAGGAAATTGGTCCTGCAGCAGGACTTGAACCGTGACATCAGCCTAAGTAAACTTGAAAGCTCTTTATTGAAGCCTAATCGAAGAACCTGGGTGGTAGAGAGCTGCCGAATACCAAGCTGAATATAGCTGCACAATATTACAAACAAAAATCTTCAAGCAGCCGCCACAAGGTGGTGCTAAAGCTTAACTACAAATCATTAGAACTCTCCATCTTTTCATCTCTAGGATCATCCTCTGAACAGACTACGTGTGGTGATCGACAAGGGCATCGACCCCGAAGACACCTATAATGAGGTCCCCTATGAGAAGGGTTTCGCTTTTGTCAGCTACCTGGCTAGCCTGGTCGGGGGGAAATCAGAGTTCACCAAATTCCTGAAATCGTATTGCCAACAGTTCAAGTTCAAGGTAGTGTTGAATAAATGTTCAATTTTTGATCTGTTTGATGTTTTAGATATTCAGAGGTTTACCATTTACAATTGTATATAGCACTGTATGATATCAAATACATGGTGCAGGATATCTACAGAGTTTAAACGAAATCACAGGAACTTTATCATTGTTGCATGCCTTTTATTGAACTCCCATTCACCAATTAAAACTGAGGTATATAGACAAATGCACAATATTTGTAACATTCTGATTTTGACATTTCTTAAATAAATGCCTCCTTTTTCTTTCCATGATAGAAAGGGCTATAGAATTTTGTTATTATTTAAAGGTGTAACTGCAGCATTAGGAAAAAAAAAGAAAAAGAAAAATAAAATCGAAATTTGCAGAAGGAACCCTAATGGAGGATCTGACCTCTTGACCTTAGATGACCCTTTCTCTTGCTACATACTTTTGCTGTCTTATGTCTGTTTCTTTCATCACATTGCTTCTTTCCCAAAATTAATCTGTATTTCTTTGTTCTTTTGAATTGCATAAAGAGCGTAGTTGCAGAGGACCTGTTTGATGCTTTCCTTGACTTCTATCCAGAGCTTCAGGAACAGAAGATCACACAAAAGTAAGTACAGTGAAACCTGTCTATAAAGACCACCCAAGGGAGACAAGAAAAGTGGTCTTTATAGGCCGGTTGTTCTTATATACAGGCTCCTTTAGTATATGTTTCAATGAGAAGCCATTTTCAAAGGAAACAAAAAAATGTGGTCTTTGTAGACAGGTGGTCTTTCTATAGTGGTGGTCACTAAAGCAGGTGTGACTGTTATAATAATGACAGCACAGGTCTACCTTCTTCTACCAAACACTGCTATGGCAAACTCTAAAGGACAGGTCCCACCTGTTAGTAAGATATTGTTTTTGAGTGCTTATAGGTTTCATTACAATGAGGTAAATTTATGGTCCAAGAAAGATTTTAATGACGACTCTGAATTGGCTTGTGCTGTGCTTCTCCCAGAGTATCTCACCTTAAACTAGGCTGCCACTGTTCAAAATATTGTACATGTTGCTCTGGGGAGAGAGAGATAACTGTTGGTGAAATATCTTTTCTGTGGACATTATACCACTATGCAATGATTTTTAATTTGCACACTCTTGCATTCATGTTCTACATGTGTGTCTCACAAAAAAATATTGAGGTGGGGCAGCTTGAAAAAATTTGGAGGGGGAAAGCTTGAAGAATTGGGGCAGGGGGGGGGGGGAGCGGTATGGTTTGATCCTCCCTAAAAAACCTATAAATACTACTGATCTTGCCACCCATAACCTTTTAGACTCACTCTTCACAACTAACATTGTGCCTTCAAGTATTCAAGAGGCTTTTATATGCACATAACATCTGTAACCACCCTTCTCTCCTTCCTATTCTCCTTTCTGCAGGAAAGGCTTTGAGTTTGACCACTGGCTCAACGGCACATCGTGGCCTCCCTTCGTCCCTGACCTGTCGGCCGGCAGGACGCTGATGGATCCAGCAGAGAAGCTTGCTAGCTATTGGCTCTCTTATCATGAAGAGGTACCTTTCAGATAGTCATAGGCACAGAGATGCCAACCAGTACGATTATATCGTATTTAGTACGATAATAAGAGTGAAATACGATAATACGATGTCACTGCAGGGAATAATTTCCAGCCAAAAATTTGCATAGCAAATCTGCTACACAAAATAATTTTTGCATAGCAGTTGGATGAACTTGTATAGCAATTTTTTTTCATGTTATAAATTACAGTGCAAAAACAATGACGTCACAACATCTGGTCATGAATGCATACTTACTACATTTTATGTTATGTACATTGATTCTGGTGTAACTGTGGACTCACCTTTAGTCATCAAGTGGATATGGCCGCTTGTTGCTACCTTGGTATAGGTAGGGTTGCACATTTGGTTTGCGAGGTGTACAGAAGAAATTCTTAACAGCACATTGTGGATTAAAATCAGTGGAAGATGGTCCCTCGATGCTGATCCTCATGAGATGATCTAGAGTGCGAGCATTTAGTCTACATCTCCAGTCTGTCTTAATTCGGCGCATTGTACTAAATCCCCTCTCCACCTTGGCATTACTGATGGGAAAGGTGAGTAAGACCCTGATGAGAAGACCAAGGTTGGGGTACTTGCTTGTTGAAACCTTGACAAATGCTCTCCAAACATCAGAGCTTTGCAAGTCCATCAGACTTGAATTCCAGTATGACTTGAAGGAGTTCCATTCCATCTGGATGGACTCTGGCTGGACTTCCTGGAGCAACCCCTTGAAATGCTCAAACACTGTGTTAAGCTCCTTGTGACCAAACTGGTCAAGAGAAGGCTTGTCCCTTGGCCAGGCATTAGTGTCCAACACCTTGAATGCTTGGAAAAGCTGTGAATTAAAGTCAGAGAATCTTGCATCGACACACTCTCTGATCTTCTTAACATATATCTTTCTAGAGTTCTGAAAAGCAGTGAAAACATCGCTTCTCATGTTGATCAGCCTGACATTCTTGTATTCCACTTCGGCCTTGCCATCTTGAAAGGTGATGTCACGGAGGAACTTTGACAGTTCTGAGGCATCCTCTATGTCCTCGTGCTCTGATTCAAGGTTTTGCATGGAAGTGTGGAATGACTCAAGACTTGCCATGGCAAACATAAGGTCCACTGACTCTCCTTGGAGATTGCAGGAAAGGGCTGCCAAAAGCTGCAACATAACATAGAATAGCAGACAGTGCATCACAAACTTGAAGCTAGTCAAGACCTGCAGGTATCCACGAAATCTAGCGCCATCTGCTGCTGACGATTCACTGACCATAGATTCAAGATGTGCAATGACGACTGGATATGACCGCAGAAGGGTGGCAAGTGCCCTGGACTTGTGCTGTAGCCATCTTGTCCCATGAGCCTTCTGTGGCTTAGTTACAACTTTCTCCATGACTTCTCCCAGAGTCCTTAACTCTCGCAGGCGTTTTGGGCTCTTCTGGTATACATAATACATGGACAGAAGCATTTCACTGATCTCATCCATGTACGTTTTCTCAAAGGCATTTTTTGCTGCCAGTTCCAATCTGTGATTCAGACAGTGCATTCCAATTAACCAGGGCATTTCATGGTCTTTCCGTAGAAGAGCAATCAGACCTTTATTTACTCCCATGTTCACTGCAGCACCATCAGCACAAACGCAGACTTTCCTTTCAGTGACATATCTGCATCAGCGAATATTTCATCCAGCCCATCTTTCAAGCCTTGTGCTGTAGCATGCTTAACATCAGTAATACAAAAGAAGTTTGACTGGACCTCACCAGTTTTATCATTCACAAAATGAACATACACAAGTTCTTGCTCCTTAACACTGGCATCTGTAGAACCATCAACCATGATGGAAAAATACTGGGCTTCCTTCAAAGCAGTGAGCATTTCACTCTTCATTGTATCACCGATGACACCAATAAACTCACTGCACTTTGCTTCATGTGTGTATGTGTTGCCTAATGGAACTCCATGTTTCTTCTCTAACTCGACGAAAACAGGGTACTTGGTAAAAGGCAGTTCTTCTTTTGCGATAGCATATGCAATGTCAAAGAGTTTACTTACTCGTTTCTCTTCCTCACTTGATGCTCCTGCTAACGCTTTCCCTATAGGCGTTGTCTTGAAGATTGCATCGAGCGTCAGTTTAGGCCTTGAAGAAAGAGCAATTGCTTTCTTATGCATTTCACTGCGAGAATGTTTCACAACATTGTCCTTTTTCAGGGCCGACCCCGTAACTCCATTGATAAATGCCTGGTTGAAATTACGTAGCGATCTCAGTTTCGCTTGATGTGCTACACACATCTTACACCTAATGCAGTTTAATCTCCCAGCACTTTCTTCGTACTCGATCCATTCCCTTTTCTGGTCTAAATCCTTAATCCAACCTTCCACAGTAACTACACGAATTGACACCATGTTTTGAAAATGACAAAAATATCGGTCCAACAATAAATCCAGAGACGAGTCGAGTCTTAAATCCAAAAAAATCCAGTAACTTTGAATCGTATCGAGGGTAAACAACAACACGTAGTATTAGCTCGCACATGAGCGCGATTGAGCCTGCCCTGGATATATAATTAGTTCACCACGTGCGTGCATTGTTGTCTGCATCGCAACAACACTCACGGCTAAAAGGTGACCGTAGACACTCATCGCCGATAGTGCGCTATGTAGGTGTGTGTAGCTTCACGGTTGGAAAGTGACTGTAGTACGCTAATATCGTTCAGTGCAGGCTGCGCTGGCCTAGCCTGCTGTACATGCAATGTGTGGATTGGCGGTCTGTGTGTGAGTACAGTACATAGCTCGTGCATTGTTGATGCATGCACTGCATTGTATGTACATGTAGTTTGTGGATTGGCGGTCTGTGTATATGAATGTACGTTTCGCTTGCATCGCAGCAATTGCGATTCATGAAAAAAGATGCGTCGCAAATGGCTGAAAATACATCGCGAATTGCGATGCGATACCGGGAAAATTATTCCCTGCACTGGACAGGTGGTTATCTCATCAACTCAGCTCTCAGTTAACATAAGAAAAAGAGGATCATGGGGGACCAATGGTCACCGATTAGGCATTGTTTGTTATATAGAAGTAGTGCAGTGGGCCTTTAAAGTATGATTTTTCATCTTAAAAAAAAATTAAAAAAACAATCGTGGAATCGCATAGAAACATGTTCAAGTACACCCCGCAACCCCAACAAAAACTTTGCTTTACAATTTTCTCATTAAATTTTAATGAACGACAAACATTTTACTTGACCGTATTTACCAGTAAAACATTTTTCTTAAATTTTAGTGGTAGTGTCGAGTTTTCGTGGAAATCTGATTTTTTAGGATACTCAGTCTGTTTTTTTTTTGTGTCAAGAGGTTAGCATCTCTGTAGGCAATATGAGTTGCAGCCTGTTCAGAAAGCCATTGCAAGACTTGTGTCCAAGTCCCCCAAATTGTTCCATATTTAATATATATTTGATGAAGTTACATTGGTTACCAAAGAGGCATAGAATTTTTTAAGCGGGACTGTACTACTTGTAGCTTCTTGCGCCCTCTATATAGCAAACAATGCCTAAGCGGTACCCGTAGGCCCCCCATGATCCCCTTTTTATGCCTCCGCTACAAAGTAGCCGGAGGCATTATGTTTTCTGGTTGTCCGTCCCTCCGTACGTCCGTACGTCCCGTTCTCGTGATCGCGTTATCTCAAGAACCAATTGATGTATTCCCTCCAAACGTGGATCAAGTATGTATCTCACAGAGCCAATGAACTGATTAGATTTTGGGGTCACAATGTTGAAGGTCAAAGGTCACAGGGCTCATTATGTATGCAAAAATAGCTCGTGATCGCATTGTCTCAAGTACTGGTCTATAGATTCCTGCCAAACTTGGGTCATGTATGTATCTAACAGAGCCAATGAACTGATTAGATTTTGGGGTCACAAGGTTGAAGGTCAAAGGTCACAGGGCTCATTATGTATGCAAAAATAGCTTGTGATTGCGTTATCTCAAGAACCGGTTGATGGATTCCTGCCAAATTCAGGTCATGTATGTATCTTACATAGCCAATGAGCTTATTGGATTGTGGGGTCACAAGGTTCAAGGTCAAAGGTCACAGGGCTCATGTTTTCAAAAATAGCTTGTCGTCAAGTTATCTCAAGAATCGATCGATAGATTCCTGCCCAACTTGGGTCATGTATGTATCTTGCAGAGCCAATGAACTGAATAGATTTTGGGGTCACTAGGTCAAAGGTCACAGGGCTCATTATGTATGTACAAATAGCTTGTGATCGCATTATCATGAGAACCAATACATTGTAGACAGATTACTATCAAACTCAAGACATGTATATGTATGTATCTTGCAGAGCCAATGAACTGATTAGATTTTAGGGTCATCAGGTCAAAGGCCATGGGGCTCATTATGTACATGTATGCCTATAAATAGCTTGTGAGTGCATTATCATTAAAACCGACAGATGGATTACAATCAAACTTGAATTTTTAAAATTGCTTTATGGCGGAGGCATCATTTTCGACTGCGCGCAGTCAAAATTTCATCTAGTTCTTATGTGAATTGAGAGCTGATTTAATAAGAAAACCACCTGTCAGTAACCACGCAGGGAGGTCTAACCCTTCCTGGTCAAACTAGTGCAGACAGTTTTTCAGATACTTTTGTTGTTTACAAAGCTTTGAATGGTCAAGCCCCAAATTATTTGTCTGAATTAAATCACAAAGGGAGACACTGTAATGCCGTGGGTGAATGCAGATTTTCAGTGAGATTTGATGTCTGATGTTAATGATAAAGTTGAGTTCTGGTCATGCGATTGCATTGTGAGAAAAACGTGGAATCAGAAAAGGTTGATCATCTAGCATATACATGTAAATATTGGTGTGTACTGCAAGGTTCTGGAATTATCAAAATGATAAGAATTTTGGCCCAGTCTTGGTAAAGTTACAAGCACTGTACTCAGAAAGATGTATATGGGACTACACGAACATGTGGCATTAAAATCTGTCCCGATTTGTATGATGTTACATGCCATATTTAGAATATTAAGGCATTTAAAGAGCCATGCTTTTCAGGGAACATTTTTTCTCTGATGTTCTTCCACACTTGCATAAAACAATGATAACGCTCACAAATTATTTTGTAACTCCACCCAGAACTTCTCTTTAACACAAATTTGGTCTTCATAGACAGGTGGTTACTGAAGCAGGTTTGGCTGTATAATTTTTTTGTTGTAATTTTTGTTCTGTCTTGTCCTGCAGAAAGATAACAAGGATCTGTCGTTGGATATCTCTGAGTGGAAGACCTATCAAGTTCTTCATTTCATAGATCAGCTTGTGGAATCAGAAGAAAGCCTACCTCACGAAACACTCAAACACTTTGCCACAACCTACCCCCAAATAAGGGATACACACAATGCTGAGGTAGGTATTCGTTACTTGTGAAATATTAGTATATTCACATAATTTCGTCGGCTGGCTGGCAGAAGGGTGTTGGCCCGCGAGCGACTCGAAAACTACTTTTCGAATTATTCACATTTAAAAATTTGTTTTATATTTAAACTGCTTTCCGTCCCGAAAATTGATTTAAAGCTTAAAAAGACTAATAGAAATGTTATAGTACAACACGGCCACAATTTCTTTCTCGGAAATAGGTCAGTTTTTTAAAAGTTTGAGGCGATTTAGTGCTAACGCCCTCTGCTTAAAGCTTCATTTTTTACGTGAAGTTCGAGCTAACGCCCTTCTGCCAGCCAGGCGACAATTTACTTAACAGTGCTTGTAAACTTGGGGGTTATAATAATAATAATAATAATGATAAAAATATGTCTTGTTTACCCGGGGTAACCTCAGCAGTATTAATACTGTTCTCCCTGAGGGCCCTGCAATCATATCATTACCCCTTTAGCCGAGCTGCCATGAAAAGGTGCTCAAGCATTCAATTAATTTTTTCTTACCGGGGTACCCATTCACCTCACCAGGGTGGAGTGTGGCAAATGTAGATTAATGTTCTCATCAATGAACATTAAAGATTTGGATAGTGACGGAGTAAATTTAACGTTCATGATCTCTGGAATTTCTATAGCTATTTGATTCATTTCTTCTGTTTTAATATTTTTTTTTGTTTCGTTTTACTCAGATTCGATTAAGATGGTCACAACTCACGATTGGTAGCGACTATGCAGATGACTTGTCAAATGTCAAGGCTTTCCTCATTGCCCAAGGTACAAATTTTATTTTATTTTCCCAAATAAGGATTAAAGGAAGGAAGGAATGAACATTTCTGTATTGCCTATGCAATTTGAATATTTCTAAAAGAGTGATGTGCATTGTTCCATGAAAATTATGATTCAACCAGTAACTTTGAAGTTATTAGCAATCAATATGTAGCTATATAATGCTGTAAATCAATTTACTGGAAGTACATTGTACTTAAAACTGCTTCGATCTGTTCCCCCTGTTCACATTGGCTGGTGAAATGTTGCTAAGCACCAAGTACTTCCAGAAAACGATTCATAGCATCCTAACCTAAGTAATAGATAAGTGATACATAAACATATACATGTAGATACAAATAGATTATACTTATAGTAAGTGAACAGAATGTGGAACCTAGAGTTTTTTGGGGTGGCACAGTGTCAGTTAAAGTTCCTTTATGTACATTTTTATGCCTCCGCCACCGAAGGTGGTGCCGGAGGCATCATGTTTTCGGGTTGTCCGTCCGTACGTCCGTACGTCCGTACGTCCGTCCGTACGTCCGTCCGTACGTCCGTACGTCCGTCCCGTTTGACCGTTATCACAATATCTCAAGAACCATTTAAGATTTAAACTTAAGACTCGGGAATAGTATTTATCACCATAGGAAGACGATCTGATTAGATTTTGGAGTACGTAGGTCAAAGGTCACAGGTCACAGAGGTCAACTTATGAAATTCCTTGTATTGAGTTTGTTAGCGCGATATCTCAAGAACCATTTGAGATTTAAACTTCAAACTTAAGGATAGTATGTATCACCATAGGAAGACGATCTGATTAGATTTTGGAGCACGTATGTCAAAGGTCAAGGGTCACAGAGGTCAACTTATGCAATTCCATACATTGAGATTGTTATCATGATATCTCAAGAACCACTGGAGATTTAAACTTCAAACTTAGTGATAGTGTGTATCACTATAGGAAAACAATCTGATTACATTTTGGAGCACGTAGGTCAAAGGTCAAGGGTCATAGAGGTCAACTTATGAAATTCCATACATTGAGATTGTTATCATGATATCTCAAGAACCACTGGAGATGTAAAAACTTCAAACTTAAGGATAGTATGTATCACCATAGGAAGACGATCTGATTAGATTTTGGAGCACGTAGGTCAAAGGTCAAGGGTCACAGAGGTCAACTTATGAAATTCCATACATTGAGATTGTTATCATAATATCTCAAGAACCACTGGAGATTTAAACTTCAAACTTAATGATAGTGTGTATCACAATAGGAAGACAATCTGATTAGATTTTGGAGCACGTAGGTCAAAGGTCAAGGGTCACAGAGGTCAACTTATGAAATTCCATACATTGAGATCGTTATCGCGATATCTCAAGAACCACTGGAGAATTTTCACTTCAAACTTAATGATAGTATGTATCACCATATCATAATATCTCAAGAACCACTGGAGATTTAAACTTCAAACTTAATGATAGTGTGTATCACCATAGGAAGACAATCTGATTAGATTTTGGAGCACGTAGGTCAAAGGTCAAGGGTCACAGAGGTCAACTTATGAAATTCCATACATTGAGATTGTTATCATGATATCTCAAGAACCACTGGAGATTTAAACTCCAAACTTGTTTAAATTGCTCTATGGCGGAGGCATCATTTTCGACTGCGCGCAGTCAAAATTCCATCTAGTTGTTTTTGTTTTCGGATACACCTATAGGGTAGAAAATATCTCTGTTTAAGTAAGTAACCTTGCTGTGGAATGTTGCATTTTCTATAAGTTACATGTTCAGCTTTTATTTATGTCGTTTATTCATCACTGATAAATTTCTCATATCATGGTACACCCTTTTCATTATGAATATTTCAGATACAAAACTGAAATGTTTCCAAACTTGAAATTACCAGGTATGCCTCTATTTATGTTGATGAATGTCAAAAATTTAAAAAATACGAGCTTGAGTGTATTTCATATGTTAAACTCTGCTAAACTGAACCTTACCATTCTTTCTCAAACACAGGCAAGCAGAAATACACTCTTCCCATTTATGCTGCATTGACGAAAGGATCCAAGAGAATGAAAGACTTTGCTGTGGAGACATTTGCTGCAACTAAAGACCAGCTTCACATAAACGTAAGGAAGCATGTGGAGAAAATGGTCAGTGTATTGTAAACTAAAATGTTCTGTACATTTCAAGAGTTCAGTGACACAAAGACGTAACTCCATATTTTTCCAAAATGAGTATTTGATATCAAGATGTTTAGAAAAATGTGGGCTTTCCAGGAAACACACAGACTTAACTCCACCCAACACCACATTGAAGTCAATGGCTAGTGAAACATAGATTTGACTCCTTAAGGCCCAAGTGCTCAGTGACATATAAACCACTTTTTCTCAAAATGGTCAAAATGGAGTTACGTCTTTGTGTTACTGACCCCTCAATTTATAGGTAGACCTTGTGTTTTGATGGTGTCGAGAATGAAATTCTCACAAGTAATATTCCAATGATGGCCATTACTCTTTTGAGTCAGCTTGCAAGTAGACCCAGTTTAGTCCCAGTTGAGGCTTTTTTTTAATAATATGATGATATTTAGTGTAATACGCATTCTGTATCCAATAGTACACAGATAATGAGTTTGCATTGAAACTGTGTTGCACGCAGGTACATTTGTTATCCCAACTTGTCACTCATTTACATGTAAACACAAATTTGCCATTGTTCTTGGGAGAAAGGATCCATTCTCGTTAGATTTAACGACGACATTAAAACCCTGGTAGTAATGTGTTACGTTTGAGATTTGGCTCGCATCTGAACAGTATTAAGCCAGCAACTTGCAAGAGAGCGGTGCCCTGTACCTTTTGGCAACTGCGCTCACCATCGTGTGAATATATCATGTGGTTAAGGGCCTTACTATCGAGAGTAGGGATTATTATCTGATCATACTGTAACTACCTATCTGTATACTCCTAATGTGGAACAAGAAAGGTAACTAGCAAATGATGTAATGGGAATTGTCACAGATGAGAAGAGACAAATTGGGGCATGTATGCTGTTATGCTTAAGTCACATTTGCCGTGGCGGCCGTGGAGTCGAGAATATCTACGGCCAAAAGCAATTATAGGACTGACACGGCCTTCCAACGGTCACATACATGTAGGGTAATGGTCACATATAATAGGGTAGGTGCACGGCGTATTTTGAATTTGTGGAGACAGAAAACCTGCGGCTACCGTACGACCTTTGAAGTGATGATGCACGGTCGCCTTGGGGTGTCCATGCGGCGTCCGTAAGTTTTGGCGAATACGGCATGGCTACGTCTACGGCGAACCTAGAAATGAAAAAAAGTTATATTTCCACAGCGACCCCTACGGCTTGTAAAGGATAGGGATACGCCCTATGGTGCCCCTGAGGGCCCTGCAGATCCTCTGCATCAGCTGGAGGTATCTCTCAATTTCAAGGGGCCTACAGCAACTGTATCCTAGCCGTAGAGCAAATGTGACTTAGGCATTAGAAATACATGATTTCTCTACTGAGAACCAGAAGGGCATTAACTCTGTGTTAAAGTATATGATGTAACACCCTTCTGGCTTCAAACAGATACTACATCATCAGCTTGGTCTATAGAGGGGGTAAACACATCCATGTGGTTTGAAATTGAATACCTACCGTAGTTATATGATTGACTAAAAAAGTTGCAGCCATCAGAATTTGGTTGCTAGTTTCTACTGTTTGTGGAAGAGCACAAATCAAGACAACTTTCATGTAAACTTTCACATGAATGAGAAATATGCAACTTTTCATGCGATATTTCCTATTTTCACAAGCTGTATTCAGACTGTTCTTCATGAATGTGAATTGGGTAACTTTTGAAGTTCAGATCATGTTACATTGTGCTTAAATCCTTCCATCTTGCAGTTAATGTTGTACAAGAATTATTGCCGTTACTTGCAAATGGGTTACTTAATTTGTTTGAAATCATTGTCTGGCATCGTGAATGAAGTAAGTTTTTTTTATGGGACAGGATATATTATACCATCTTGTAGAATTAGGTGTTTTTCTCACAGGGCAAAAGAGAAAAATATCTTCCATTTAAGTTGTGGCGATGAATTGTAAGTAACTTGTATGTTTTGGGTATCTGATGTTCTTAAAGAACCCCTGTTTTTGTTTATCCATTTGAAGAAATAACCTCGACTCTACTTATTTTTTGTATAGTGTGTTTGTGTATTATGTTATGAAATAACGTGATGATTAGTTAGAACAATAATCCTTATCTTTTCAGAGTAGAAAGATTGTTCATAAATATTATGTAGATTAATGTAGATGTAGTTTGTAATAGATTTGCTCTAGACACGGAAAGCACTTTGAGATGCAGTTTAATTTATTATTTTTGCATATTTAAGTTATTAGCTACGAACAACTTTTTTTATATGGGGTATGCCATTAACAAATTGAAAAAGCATAATGGAAAGTATGTCAAAACATGACATGTACATGCTGTAAGAACAATTTTCATACTTACCACAACCGAATGTCTTTTATCTATTAACTGCAGGCTATTGCAATGGTCACAATTGTTCTTCTTCTATCTGAAAAGGGAGAAATCCAAATTATTTTGGCCAGAAAAGATACCACATTGCGGGAATAGAATGATTGTGTTCCTCCGGGATGTTCCTCAGGGTTGTTTTCGTGCACCTTATTTGTGCAGGTCCAGCTGACTATGTATTCACCAAGCACAATGACAGGAGTTCCTAGTATTGCGTGTAGTAAATACATGATCAGCTGCGCATGAACATTGCTGTGGAATGTCCTTAAAGAGGAATAAATCTTTGTTTCGGTCAAAGAATCGTCAACAGAGAAGTAGCCTAATTTGATGCAAACCCATGCCTCGTGGGCCACTGAAAATATTACATTCAGTTTGACTACCGGTAATAAAATATGATGATGAGCTTTTGATGTTTTGATGTTTTGATGACCATTAAGCCTGTGAACTGAAGCTATGGTCTGTGGGAAATTTATGTCAAAGATAAAGTTGAGTTCTGATCATGCAATTACATTGTGAAAGTGATAGGAAAAGGTTGATTACATGAGAACTGACGTGTACTGTCAGGCTTTGGAATCATAAAAAAAATAATAAATTGGCCCATTCTTGCTCAAAGTCACTTGCACTGTACACAGATATGTGTATATGGGACTACACAAACATGTGACATGAAAGTGTGGTCCACGACCTTTAGCTGTTACCTGTCTTATTTTGAATATTAAGGCATTTTGAGAGCCATTTTTGTTTCCAGGGGACATTTTTTCAATGATACTCTTCGACGTAAAATAAAAAGAATGTAAAATCTTACAAATTTTGTTTTACCTTTCCAAGAACTTGTCATTTTCTTAAACACCCAAATCACTTTATATCTAACAGTTTATCCATACTTATTTTATTTGAGCAATGAAATCAGATATATACTGAGACAATTTATGACTTGTTTTTTTTATTTTGATTTGCAATGACATCTTAGAATAATGGATCCTGACTAAAAACTTTTCATGTTTTACATAAATACATGTATGTGAAAAGGCAAGTTGGAAGCATTACTTTGTATAAAAGTGTTGTGACATATTGTTTGCTCCCAGAGTGTACATTTCCATTAAAAATCATGAATTGAAATGAAGAAATGTTAGAGCTGTTTGGTTTGTTTGATGTTGATGTAAATACTTTGGCGATCTCGATCTTGTTCTACCCATTAAAGGGATCGTTTAGCAATGTTAAATCTGAGATGCACGTGTTATCAGTGTCTGTGATATGGTGTTATATTGAGGCCCTAAAAAAATTGCACTTCAAAAGGATCAAGAAGTGCCTCAAAAAAGTAAATACCTTTGAGTGACCGGTTTTACCATACTCGTTTTCCCCAATAGACTGTAGTATTATGAAAATCGTGTGGCAAACGCAAAATTTGATTTCGATTTTTCAATCATAAATATCTTCATAATCAGACAGGCTTGTAAAAGTCATGGGGTTCCTGACTGACCTAAAGGTTTATAATTATCATTGCAGCATGAGCTAAATCAAGTGTTTTTTTAAAGGATCTAAGACAAAGTTACCGGATCTCTTTTAACAATTGCATTAATCCAGACCACATTGAATGAAAGATAAGGTTAAGTTCTGGTGAAATGCGAGAAGAACTTCAAAGAAACTGTCTGTAAGTGCTTTGGAAAGGTATGATTACATGTATGTACAGTGTGTAGATAGGGTTTATTTTTCTGCTTAGATTACTATCAAGGCTGGATTTCCCTGTATTATTATGTACTGTACATACAGATGCAGACCTATAACTAATCCAAATCAAACTGACTGTGTACACAGAAATGTTGATTTATTTGTTTAGGTCAAGTTGTAATTTAGCTCATTCAACACTGCAAGGCCTATATGAATTATTGTTTTTATGACAAGTCTCAGAAGAACGATTCAGCCTTTATTTTATATTTTATCGTCTTAGTAATAAAGGCAGTGTGAATTTGAAAGAAAGTTAGAGTTAAAAGAAATAGGGGAATTAGACACCTGTGGTCTCAGATGAACAGGCAACGTTTAAAGAAACTGCAAACAAATAATTTCATGCGTGATGATTTTTTTCTTCCCCGACCGTATTTTTTTTTTATCGCAAATAATATATAAGGAAATAAAAAGAAAAAGAATATCTGAGTCATTACAAGCATATTATCTTTTCATCCTAACTGGATTTCGTTTTACCCCATGATCATGATTGGGGGATTGAAATTTCTAAAATAACTAACGATTTCTAAAAGTTACCGCGATAGAAGGGAATATCCTGCAATTTCTTGAAATTACCTGTCAGTCATCCCTGCATATATACATAATTTCTTTTTACTCTGCTCATGAAATTTGCTCCCTCAAATCTCTTGTTGAGTCCTTGCATTAACATGATCATGTGTAAATTGTGAAAGAAACTGTCTAGGCACGATGTAAAGTGTTCAAAGTTTTAGAAAAGAGGATCTATGGGGGTATTACAAGGATTTTGAAATCCTCAAATTGAAAACAAATTTACTCGATCAATTGAATATTGCTAATAAATTAACTTTAAAATATTCAATGGTATCTGTGATATCATATGGGACAACTCATGCAGCATCTGAATTCGATCCACAGATCATGTTTTTCTCTCTTGAAGTATTTGAAAAAAAGAAATAGAAAGAAAGAGAAATGGAGAGACAGGAACAGAGAGGAGAGGGAAATGGAGAGAAGAGGGAAAGAGAGAGGAGAGGGAAAGATATTTA